AGTTAGTTGTCAGATGGAATGAGAGACTAAATTGTCTGCCTCCAGGCCTCCAGTGTACGGTTGTAAAGGTTGAGCACTGCACAACAGCACCTGCCCAAGGGAATGAAAGGGGTCTGAGATCCAGGCCAGAGCTGAACTGAAGGGAGGTGTGCCTTCTTCCTTTCACAAAGGGCCCATCTACTCACCAAGCCAGGTGGGGACCTCGTCTGCCCCGAGAAATGTTTGGATGCAGAAGGGTGATGCAGAAGGAGGTCCAAACTGTTCAGCATTTTGTGGGGTTAATTGATTCCTTCTGCCTTTTTGTAGACAAAAACTGTGATTTGTTTCTATTCTGTGACCCACTGTATCTATGATTGGTCTGTCTGTCTAGTCTAATCTAATCTTATCTGTCTGTCTGTCTATCTATCTATCTATCTATCTATCTATCTATCTATCTATCTATCTACCTACCCTCTGTTATACCCACATTGATCAGGCTGTAGCAGCTAATGGTTAGGAGGGTTAGTATGGAGAACAGGGATGGCATTCACTTACTCTGTGGAGGGGGGACACCCAAGGAATGTTCTGTACATCCCTGCCTGTCAGACTGGGCTGTAGGTTCTAGACCACCTCTGCCTCCTGCAGTCCTACTGGAGTCCTGTCCATAGAACCATCATGGGGGAGCCTTGTCCTAGGCACCCAGGGTGGGGATCGTGGGGCTCCAGAGACAGGAGAAGACATTCTCCTGGACGTCAGGAGGAGGAACCGACTCCTAGCCCTGTAGGCACATGCAGTCGTTAGGGCAGAGCTTTCAAGGGAGGTGCAAAGAGGAAGAAAAGGGAGACCATTAAAAAACCTGAAAATGTTGACGAAAATAAGACAGAGCAGGCTTTGCACACAAACTATGAGGCAGGTGGATCAGGCATATATCTGCCTGTCCTTTTCTAGGACAAGAATTAAGTCAGGCACTGTGTTTGCATTTTCCAAAATCCTGTGCTCCATCCCCTTGTGGATGCTCCTGATGCATCCTGGGTCCTGCTCTCGCTTGAGTTCCTGCCCTTGGGTCTAGAAGCCCCCGAGGAGCAGAGCTTGGTCACCCCCCTCCCCTTCCAAGCCTGTTGGTGGAGGCTAGCCCTTCCCCCGCTTCCTTCCCAGGGAAGGGCTCGTGCAGTCAGCAGCAGGGCCACACGAGCCGGGAGTGATCAGGGACAAGGTACATTGGCCAAATGACTCCTTGCAGAGGGGCCTTATCTGATTAAGCTTTGGTTAAACAGCACGCACGGAGAGCACACGGTCCTCAGACACTGCTGATGGGCCTGCCGTCACCAGCACATCCACTGTGAAGACATGGAGTCCAGTGGGTGACCTGCATGCCCTTTGCCACCTAGGAGCCTCCCGCCCACGTTCATTTGGCATGACACTCAGATTCGGGACAGACGTGGTGTTTGGTTCTATTTTGTCTGTTTACCCCCGAGTACAGGGCATTGTTTAGTTTTCCCAGAAAAGCTCAGGTGTCGTGTGGTTTTTCAGAAGATGGTGCAGAATGAGTTTCAGGGCACAGATGTGTGGAAGTAACCTTTCAGGGGAAATGTTCTGATGGAACCAGCCAACCAGTGCGTCACCCTGTCTGTTGCATGGCGGCGTCTGAGATTGCATTGGCTCTGATCTTTACAGCAATGACTGCAAAACAGGACTCCAAAGCATGTGCACGTCTGTGCCTAGTGATCAAAAACTCAACTAAGATGCTTCTCTTGCCCCAGAGGGATGGGACGGTCTTGGACGGGACCCGGGAACAGACACCACTTTGAGCAGGCCCTCTGTCCCAATCTCACCCCATTTACCTCTTCTTCAGGCGGTCCACAAGGAGAGGGTGTCAGATAATGTTTGCCTGATGTAGAGCCCCGGCTGCGAGCCTGCCTTTTACATGTGTTGTTTCCTTTAGCAGGACAACCACCTGCGGAGTAGATAACCCTTTCCCCGGCTGTCCTCTGGGGAGTTGGAGTTGGGTTAGGTCAGGTAACCTGGGGAGAGTCATGCAGCTAATAACAAGAAGATCTAGCCCTTCAACCCAGGTTTCTTTTTTTCTTGTTAATTTATTATTTTTTTGATTGAAGTATAGTCAGTTACAATGTGTCAATTTTTGGTGTACAGCATAATGTCCCAGTCATATATATATATACACACACATATATTTGTTTTCATATTCTTTTTCATGAAAGGTTCTTATAAGATATTGAATATAGTTCCCTATGCTACACAGAAGAAATTTGTTTTTTATATATTTTTGTATATAGTCGTTAACATTTGTAAATCTCAAACTCTCAAATTTCTCTCTTCCCACCCCTTCCCTCCAGTAACCGTAAGATTATTTACGACATCGGCAAGTCTGTTTCTGTTTTGATGAGTTCATTAGTGTCTTCTTTTTTAAGTTTTTAGATTCCACATATGAGTGATCTCATATGGTATTTTTTTCTCTTTCTGGCTTACTTCACTTAGAATGACAATCTCCAGGTCCATCTGGGTTGCTGCAATGGCATTACTTTATCATTTTTATGGCTGAGTAGTATTCCATTATATAAACATATAAACACACCACACCTTCTTTATCCAGTCATCTGTTGATGGACATTTAGGTTGCTTCCATGTCTTGGCTATTGTACGTAGTGCTGCTATGAACATTGGGGTGCATGTACCTTTTTGAATTAGAGTTCCTTCCGGATATATGCCCAGGAGTTCAACCCTGGTTTCTTGAGTGCACAGCCCACACCAGCCAGGTTGCCTTTCCCTCCAGCACTAGATGGGCACCCCCTGGGGCTGAGCCTGGCCTGAGGAGATGCAAGGGCAGCAGAGGTGGCCTCCCTGGCTTCTCTGGTCTGAATCGTCACAGTAGCCTTATTGGGGTGGGGGAGGTTGATAAAAGTGTGAGAGTGTAGCTTATCAGACTGGGCTCTGTTTCCGTGTCATCATTTAACCTCCTCTCTAAGCCTCACTTCCCTTAAAGGTTCTGGATGAAGCACGTTTGCCTCAAAGACTTGTTGGGAGAATCCCACGACAGGGTGCCTGTCACGGGCTTAGCGCGGTCCCAGGCCGGTCACTGGTCAGTGCATCTTAGGGGGAAAACTTGCAAGGAGTTCTCGACTCTCTTAGTTTGAATGAAGGGAGAGGTATGTCCCATCCTAGGAGAGTCAGGACAGTGCCGACACCTGTGGATCGGGTCCTGCTGCGGGGAGCTCACGGTTCCCGGCCAGGGTCCCTGCAAAAGTGTGGCCTCGGGGTTCTTATTTTCCAGTCATCACCATCTTTAAGGGGAAGGTGGAGGAGGTGGAGCTGCCCGTGGAGAAGGTGGACATCATCATCAGCGAGTGGATGGGCTACTGCCTGTTCTACGAGTCGATGCTCAACACGGTGATCTTCGCCAGGGACAAGTGGCTGGTGAGTCCTGCGCGCTGTGCCCTCGTCGCTCTGCTGGCCACTTCCTGCAGCCCAGGAAGAGTATGAGGACTTCAGAGGGGGCTGGGGCTAGAGGGTCACCGCTTCCAGACCCCTCTCTTGAAATCAGACCTGCTCCCGGGGACACGGTGACTGTCCCCAGGTCCCCACGTCTAGCTGCCACAGTTTGCTTAGGTCTCGCTTTGGCCTCTGGGGCTCTAATTGACACCCACTCTCTGTTGTCCAAAGTCTAATCTGGTCAGCAAGTACCAGGGACCTGCCGGATTGCCAGGGAGCCCAGTGTGCTTTCCACCTTGGCTTCTCCAGGCTAAAAAGTCAAAACATCTTCCACTGGGCCTACCTCTGCCCCCCCAACTTGTTCTGTTGACCCCCACCTCAGTCCCTTGAATTTTTTCTTGTACCGAAATGAAAACCGAGCGTCCCAGCCCAGCCCTCACCCCGGCCGCGTGGCAGCCTGCTGCATGAGAAGTGTTGGCAAGGGGGTGCCTGTCTGGTGACTCTATGTGCAGTTCAAAATGTGATGTCTTTGTCAGGTGAATAGATTACAAGACCCATTTCCCCACAATTCATCAACAGAAACCTGGAGGGCTTATGTTTCCAGACCGGGCAGCTTTGTACGTGGTAGCAATTGAGGACAGACAGTACAAGGACTTCAAAATCCACTGTAAGTCCCCTTTTGAGTCTCTGTTGGGCTCTTTTTCTTTTTTCTTATTGCACATTTGGGGTGGGAAGCACTTCAGAGGGGTGGGGCTTAGCGGCGGGTCTGTGGCCACAGCGGCTGTGCCTCTGGAGGAGTTGACCTGGGACCCTCTCTGGGTTCTGCTGTCGAGATGTTGTCTTCTGGCCCCTGCAGTTGATTCTGCTGGAGGGATTCCCAGAAGGAGTGCATTAGTGTGTGTGTCTGTTTACCTCCTCCTGGAAATATAAACTCAACGCATGGCGTTCAGAGCTGGGGTCAGGAGAAGACAGAGATGGGACAGTTGTTTGAGGCTGTGTGCCGTCTGCCTCCAGCCAATCTGGCGTCATTTCCAACATTCGATAAACCAAGGGAGGTAAGGTGGCCGAGGTTAGGTGAGCGTGTTGTGAAGCCTGCCAGCCCTGGGTTCCAGTCCTATGGGGGAACCGTGAGCAAATTAAACACCACTGCACCTCGGCTCCAGACAACATTCCCCACCCTCTAGACTTGCCTCGAGGATTAGGTAGGAGGATGTGATCAGGGGACAGGGCAGTTCTTGGCGCTGCATGCACCAGCCTGGGTCTAGTCTCCGAGCTGTCACCGAGCCCCTTCCTGCTCGCGGCTTTGGCAACTGAGCTGACTGCTGAGCTTGGTGGCCTCCAGTGGCTCATTCGGGACAGATGTGCTCTCGTGGCAGATCTCACCAGCTCAACAGCGAACATTGATCAAATGCATATGTAAGTAGGACATATTTCACCCTGGAGCTGGGTTGTAAGGCTGCTTTTGGAGTTCTTGCCATAACTGTATAAATCGCGTTTGGAGGAGAACCTTCAGGCACATTCTTTGTTCTCACGCGTACTAAATATTTATTGAGCTCCGACCCTCTGCACAGCTCTTTCAGGAACTTCCTCACGGTTTAAAAGCAAACATACCTCACCCTCCTCCTTGCACGGGATCCTGCTCAGGAGCCCTGGGCTCATGCACCTTGTGATGTGGACTGGGCTGGTCCTGATGGGCTCAGGTGCTGGCCTAGGACTGGACAGCATGTGACAGAGTCTTGCCCCCACCGTTTTGCAATTTTTGTGCATCCTGGGAAAGAAAAAAAATTAAAAGCCATCCCCACTTTTCCTTGTGGAATGCTTGCTCTGCAGTGTCTGTCAATACCTACCCCCTGCAAACCCCAAAAACATAAATCAAATACACCTTTAAAACTTATTTAAAATATTCTTTAGTTTTCCATTTAAACATTTTTTTTAAAGATCTGTTTTTGTTTTTACTAAAGGAAGCAAGCCCATTTAGAAATCTGTTTTAAATAAACACACTTTGGTTTCTCTGCGTTCTAAATCAAAAGTAAAAGCAAAATTTAAAAAAAAAAAGAAAAGTAAATGCAGAAAGGTTGGCTGGTTGCTATGGGAACATTTGTAAGCAAATTTCAGTTGGCTGAAGAACCAGCTGAAAAAGAAACGTCTTACAGCGGAGCAGGAGACAGAGACACGCTGGGTCCCTTTCAGAAAGGAAATTGTTAGGAAAACACTGTCTTCTCTCCTTCCCCACCCACTCCTCCTCTCCTCTCCCTTCCTCCCTCCCCCTCCTCTCCCCTCCTCCCTTTTGTCAACTGCACAAGAATGTGTGAAATACAGAATCTGCCCTCAGTTTGCTCATCAACTACTAAAGAACACTTAGAGAGACCTGGTTGGCATGTTCGAGGCTCACAGCAGCGAATTTTGTTGCGTGAATGAATGAATGAGAAAATTATGAAGAAACAGAAGTAAACCAGCAGAGGAACATGCCAGGTGTAGGGTTTAACCCTGAGACAGGAGCAGTCGTTAAAAAGATTTTTTTTTTACTCTGGAGATTTCTAGAATTTCAAAATTGGAAAAAAATTGGGAGATACCCTACTTGATTTTTCACCCAGTACGTGGATGTGCAGCCTGCTGAGTCAGAGGTTGGGCACCAGCTTCCCAGCTGATGAGACGATGACAAGTGGCCCCTGGTGTAGAATCAGCCGGGGGTGGGGGTGGGGGTTGAAGGGCAGGACTTTGCCGAGGGCTCAGAAGCTGTCCATGGTTCCTCCTCCGCCACCTCCCCGACATCTATTTTCTGGTTCTAGCCTGTTTTATACAAGGAACTGACTTTGATCTAAAAGCCTATAATGTATGAAACTAGGTACACACCTTCCTTTGTGTCTAGAGGAGAAACTGTTGGTGGCACGTGTGGCACATGCTCTGTTGTCCTCCCAGGCAGCTTCACCAGCTCTAGCAGAGAAACTCGCGTTGCTGGGACCAGGGTGGGGAGGGAGGATGCTGCCACAAGTTCCCTCCAGTGAAGAGTGAGACCTGTTTTCTGGGATTTCATGTTCCTGCTTTCGTTTTCAGGTTTATTGTTTCCTCCGATGTATCCATTCTGCTCACAAGCTCATTGAAAGAATTATTCGTCTTCAATATTGTGATTTTCATTTCCAGCGTTTCCACTGGCTCTTTCTTATAGCTTGCATCTCACAGATGAAATTCTCCACCTGTTCATATTGTTTCTCCACTAGATTCTTTAAAATATTTGTTACAGGTACTTTAATGTCTCTGTTGGATAATGCCAGCATCTGAGCTCTGAGTCTGGTTCTACTGACTACTTTTTTCTTCTGATGAGGGTCATGTTTTCCTTTCTTTTCCTTGTGTCTTGTAATTTTTTAATGAATGCTGGATACTGTGAGTAATGCTGAACTGTAGAGGCAGATGATTGATCCGTGCTCAGAAAGGAGCATGCCCTTTCCTCTGCCAGGCTTTGAAGGCAGAGATTCTGGCCCATCTAGTCTGTAGTTACAGTAGGTCCTGGCTTTCCTGTTGCTATTGTTACATCCATCACACGATGGTGTGGTCCTTTTCAAGAGTTTGTTTTAATCCACACACTAAATTGCATAGGTCCTTTTGATGTTATTTTTTAACCCCCAGAATACTAATAATATTTCCTGGTGTATGATGACCCTCACCCCCAATTCACTGATTCAGTGGACAAGACAGAATTGCAGCAGAAGATTAATACCCTCCATGTGCCTCCTCTCCCATCTCTGCTCTACTTACGGTAAAGAAGCTAGTGGGAAATGAATGGTCAGCAGAAAGGAGCAAAACAATCTAATGTTCTGAAAGTGGGGCAGTCTAGCTGAGGAGATAAGACGTGAATTAACCCCTGAGAAGGTAACTAAAACACCAGGCTTCGTGAAGCAGTGCAGGCATTCAATGTTTGGGAATAAATTTCAGTTAAAAAAGCAGCACCCATGGACCTATGTTATGCCAGATGTTCTAAATAGGCGCTGAGGGAACAGAAGGAGAGGTCCCGTGGTTGGGAGAGGATGGGAAGCTTCCACAATGGCCATGAGACGTTAAGCTCCCCATGTGAAAGCCAGACTGAAAGGGGCTTTAAGGACCGTGTAGACCAAGGGCTTCCAGACCCTGGCTGGAATTGCCTGTATAGATTTGAAAATCCCAGCTTCCTGGGTTCCTCAGATCTGGAGATTCTGATTCAGTAGGTCTGGTTGTGGTCCAGGAATCTGCATTTTTCAAAGTGTCCCTGCTGATCCTGGAACACAGAACCACTGAACCAAACTCCTCACTGTACAAACAAGCCAGAGAGAAGGGGACTGATCTGCTGAGGTCACATCGCCTTGGGGGGTAGCAAAGCCAGTGCCCAGACCACGTAAGGACAGCATCTGTGCTGTCCCAGAGTTTCCCACGTGCCAGGCCCTGCCCTGTGTACCTTCCGTGTATCTTCACATGTAACCCCACAACAGCCCTACAGAGTCACTGTGATTATCATCATCTCCACTTTAAAGAAGCAGCAGCCAGCTCTTTGAGAGGGTGAAAGCTTGCCTAAGGTTGCTCAGCAAATGAGCAGCAAAGCCCAGGTTTGAAGCCCAAAGCTCAGGACTTTAACCATTACACACATAGACTCTTAGATATTTGCCCAAACCTTGCCCTGAACCTTAATTTAAGGCAGAGCCGAGAGGGAAAGAGCAGATGCGTGGCTGCAGACCTCTTGAGGAAGAGTTTTAAACAAAAGCGGTGTGTTTGGGGGCACGTTTTATCGGGGGGAGCACACATAGCTAGTTCCAGATTCTAGAAGGGGGTCTTCTCCAAAGCACATACTGTTGCCACCAAACGTAGGCAGGCTCAGCTGGGAATTTGGCACCAGCCTTGGGTATACAATGGGATCTGATTGGCATCTCATCCCACAGCCAGGATTTCACAAGCGCTCACCCCCTGGGAGGTGAGTATTTTCTCGGCCTCTTCTTCCTGAGGAAGGTCTTTGTATGCCTTAGAAAAGAATCGGAGTGGAAGGAGCACAATGTTCCCTGACCATTCACACCTCTCTCCTCACACTCTCCTCTCCTAAACACGCACGGGAACCCAAGGTTCCGAAGGTACCATTTGTTTAGTGAACATTAAAAACAAAAAACTTAATGCTCTAAGATTTTAGAGAAAAGCATCTCTATTTCAATGCATTTTAAGCCCCTCTGAATGAACAGACAAGTGAGATTCAGCTGCCCAGTGACTGAAGACTCTGCTCAGTCACCATCTGCATTGCGGGGAGAGGAAACGGCATTGAGAGCTGCTGTCACAGCTGGGTCTGCACAGCCGAAGGGTTAGGGCACAGCTGGGTTTGAGCCCTTGCTCCAGGGTTTCCCTGCCGTGGGGTATTGGGCCAGATACTGTGTGTGGGTCGGGTGCCAGCTTCTGCGGGCCCCCGTTTTCTCATCTGTCATATACAAGCATCCTCATGGGGTCGCTGGGTAGAGCAAATGAAGGCTCTGGCCTGGGCTAGGTGATCAGTGAGTGACAGCAATGATTACCATCATTTAAAAGGTGGTCTTGGACCATCAGATTTGCATTCGTTCATTCACCAACCCTGCACCCTGAATGTGTCCCCCTCTTAAATCTTATGAACAGTTCCAAGAGGCCAAGGAGCACTGCTGGGATGCTTCGTGCCCCTCCCCCGGGGGTATGTCTTACAGGATGGATCCTTAGTGAGAACATCATGGTGCCTGAGAAAGGCAAAGCCTCTCCTGGCCCCCTCCCCCAACTCCCCCGCCAGCCTTGCGTTTTGCAGTAGAGAAAGCGGAGGTTCAGAGAGGTTAGCAGATTTGCCTGAGAGCCGACCAGTAAGTGGTGGTGCTGAGAATCCAGCTACAGCCTGTTTCACTGAAAGCCCGTGTTCCTTTCGGCTGCATGAAAGTTTCCGCTGGCAGGGATGGGAGGAGGGAGAGAGATAAGCGTGGGGAACGGCTGGAGCAAAGGTACCGAAATAGAAATGTGGACAGCAGGGAAGAGAGTTCGTAGGAGACTCTGAGGCTCAGAGAGGGGGCTGGAGAGGAGGTACGGAAGAGGCAGAAATTTGACTAGTACAGTTCTAACCCTGGCCCTGCGGCATTCCAGCTGTGTGCCCTTGGGGAAGTTTCTCAGCCTCTCTGAGCTTTACGTTTCCTAACCATAAACCATGTGCAAATGAGACGGTGTGGCTGAGCCTGTAGCAGGTTGCGAACCTCTCCAGCAGGTGAGCGACTCTGCTATCCTCTGGTGGTGGGACAGGAGCTGCTCCCCGCCTTCTAATACTTAAGGGGGTCGGGAGACTTCTGGGGGTCCTGCTGCCGACCCTCATGTCTCGCTCTGTTCCCACAGGGTGGGAGAATGTCTACGGCTTTGACATGACCTGCATCCGGGATGTTGCCATGAAGGAACCCTTGGTGGACATCGTGGACCCAAAGCAAGTGGTGACCAACGCCTGTTTAATAAAGGTCTGCAGACTGGCCCTGCTTGGGTCCAGGCATGCGGGAACCCAGCTGTGCCACCTGGACGCCGTGGGCCTGGACAAAAGGCCACACCAGCCCCTGCAGGGTCCCAAACTGTGAGGCAGAGCCGCTTTGGCCAGAGCCTCTGGCAGCCCACGGTGGCCAGTCAGAAGTAGGCAGTGTCACTGGGCAGAGGTGTGGAGAGAGAGCCGCTGGACTCCACGGTGGCACAGCTGGCAGGGGGTGGGGTCAGTGCGTGTCCCGTGGTGGTGCAGGGGGGTGGGGGCGGTGTGGGGTGGAGGAGGGGGGACCACTGTCCACACGTTGGATTGATCTTTCTGGTCTTTTTTCCCAAGTATTTGCATTTATAGACCCTAATCTCTCCTGCCGAATGGTGGAAAACTGTTGATACTTGACTGTTTTTTTAAGTCTAGAAAGATATCAGATTCACATGTTTCAAGTTTATGCTTTAACCAGAGAATCTGGGTTTGATCCGCAGGATCTCTGTTAAATTATTAAAAAAAAACCTAATTGCCCCTTCCAAAAAAGCCCCACAGAGGATGAGGAGGAAGAGCCCAGGGCTGCTGGGGTGAGGGGAGGTCCCCGCAGGACTGATGCAAACGGTCCCTCGTCCCGCGTCACAGTCCCCCTGAGAAGAAGCACTGCCTGTCACTGCTGCCTTCAGAGGGGACCTCGGAGGACAAGCAGAGCCCGCAGAACCGCGCACGGGTCCCATCAGGGGCTGCCTCCCTTTTGTGACGTCCTGCCGCGGGGGTTCGGCCCAAGTTCAAGCCCCGGCCCTCCCTGACAGGGCTTTGCCGCTTCCCAGCTCAGCCTGTTCTGATGGGCAGGACTGATCACAAGAGACGTCCTTCTTTTCCTTCCCCCAGCCCCTCTGTCCCTGAAGCTGCCCCCTCCTGGCACCCCCAACAAAGCCAGGGAAGTACACCCCCCGAACAACTCACGTGCAAAACACGGCTGCATATACTGTGGTCTAAGCAGAAATCGCCTGTGCGACTGATTTGCCGAAAGGACACACGGCCGCGGCAGGTGACCTGAGACGCCTGTGCGTAGTGGGGCTACAATTCCTTCCGCGTGCTTGGGCCCGGGGGGCTTTCTGCCCCTGACCTGCAGGTGTGGCCACCGCACTGCTGGTCCGTCTAGGACTGGCCGGCTCTGTCCCCCAGGCCACACTGCTCTCCCTCCTTCCCCTGCTGCCCCAGCCAGGAACCCGCAAGGGTCTCTCCTGGTGACACCTGAGAGCAGCCTGGGCGCAGACTCAGCGCGGGGCAGGGGAGTCGTGTGGCAGGAGGGGCGTGAGTCACCGGCACCGAGGACCCCTCAGGGCGGTGGGTGTGGTGGCCAGAGCTCTGTGCTGTCAGGCCGGGCCATCCCCTTTCTCCCTGGATCCCCGAGAAGGACGAGGCTGCGAGCCGCTGCGGCCAGGAGAGCTGTCCGCCAGCTCCCGCTGGCGCTCAGCACTGTCCCCGGCTCTGTTGGGAAAACACTTACCCTTCTTCACACGCTTAATTGCTGTTTTCATCGCTATTAACCATGCGGCGTGTGACACTTTATTATAATTAAGACTCTGCTTTGACCAGACTTCTGTTTGGGGACATCCACGGTGACATTCCTTAGCCGTGAGCAGAGCAGCGGCCGGGGTGCCTGAGTCACTGATGCCTGCAGGGCCCTCTGCCAGGTGGGTGGCCTGGGGCCGAGTCAGGGGTCACCCTGGGGTCTCAGGGCTGCCGCTGCCGCTGCGGTGAAAGAAGAAACCTGCCAGCGAAGGGGGGCAGGCTCGGGGGGCCCGGCAAGTGCACCTGACTCTGGAGACTTTGGGCCTGACATTGAGGGGGGACCTGACCCAGGGGGCCCGTCTGTCCCCGAGGCTCAGCCGCAGCTGACCACCCGCACGGATGGCCTGGGCCTCACCCCACAAGCCCCGCTGCCCCCGCCACCCCGTTTTAGTGCATAGCTCTGTTACTCCTGGTCTGGAAGCCTTTGATCCATTCCTTCCCAGACCCCTACTAAGACACACGTGTCTGTAGGGCCCAGGGAACCCTGTCAGCTAGCATGGCGGCGTGGGAGGCCGACGTCTGGTTGACTGACATCTGAGACCCTGCAGAGATGGAGTCCCCGCTAGATGGGGTGTTGTGCGTTTGTGCACGTGCTTGTGCGCGCTGACACTGCTGACGAGAGGGGAGGACACAGGGAAGAGAGAGCAGGTATGGATGTGTCACAGGGCCAGCTTCCCTGTTCCCTCTCCGCGTCCAGGCCGAGAGGCTGGGGCATTCTTGGGTAAGCCGTAGAAAATCACGGAAGGTTTTCATCCAGGGAGCGGCATAGTCTGAATGCGTCTTAAGGAGAGTCATCAGTTGACGAGAAGGAGAAGCCTGGGGAGGGGACGGGAAAGAGAGTCGTCAGGCTGGGACAGTGTCAGGGGAAGAGTGATGGGTGAGGGGCTCACTTGTGTCCAGCCCCCGCTTCCAGAGGGCTCCAGTCTAACAGGGAAACAGAGGCAGAGGTGGTGAGGCCGCCAAGATGAGGCACAGGTCGGGTGGAAAGAGCAGGCTGGGCTGGTGGCAGAGGGCACCAGGGACCTTGGAAAGAGCCCAGAGCCTGGTGGGCTGGCCCTGACGAGGGCGAGATGGAAAAGTCAATGAGTGCAGATGCTGTGAGCCAGGTGGACGGCCCAGCTGACCACAGCTGCTCTAAGCGTGTTGGGCCGGGGGGACCCTGCAGACACGTGGCAGGAGGGACGGCGAGCGTCATGAACTGACAGATACTGGGGCTAAAAATATTCCCCAGGTGTGGGCGTGGCCCAGACTAACAGGGGACATGGAACAGAGGACTCCCTGCGCTCGGTCCCGAGACGAAAGGAGAAAGGGTCACAAGAGGGGTGCCGTGAGGGAGGGGCTGGGTGGGTGGACGCAGTGGGAGCCGGCAGGGGTCAGACCTTTGAGGTAAGAGGCCGCTAGATGTGGGTCCCAAACCAGGAGGGCAAAGGAGTCGGAAATCATGCCTTAGGAGAGGCAGTTTATGTTGGAGAAGAAAAGGTTTAGGGGACGCACGCGAGCAGGAGCCGGCACGGGCTGGCCCTGGGGGTGGAAGGAGCAGAGGCTGGTGTGGGCTCTCCTCGTGCGTTTTGGGGAAGGACCTCCTGACTGGAGGCGTCACGAAAGGAGTGAGCTGCCCAGTGTGCGGCGAAAGCGTCTTCCCTGGAGGGGTTCAGGCACCGCCGCCCGCTTCCTGGGAGGGCCCCCAGGGGCTCTTATGTTCTTGGGCTGAAAGGGGACCAGCCTTCTGACCCCACCGAATTCGGCACGCCTGGCCGAGCTCAGACGGGCTCCTATCGTCCCTGCTCCTCGTCCTCGGGCTCCACAAAGCATCGCTTGCATTAGAAGTGACAACACTGAGGGCTCCCACATCCCCCCACCCTTGCAGTCCCACCCTCTTCCCAACCCACAGGTCAGAGCACGCCCCCAGGGTGTCACAGCTGCCCAGCCCACACGGAAGCAGGGCTCCGGTCTGGCCGGCTGCCTTGACCACACCTCCACGTCTGTCCGCCCTGCGGAGGAAAGGTTTGGCTTTGAAGGCTCTGGCATGCTTTGCATCAGTGTTTTCTTTATTCATCCTAGAAATGTGTAGAGATTAAAGCCTCCTTGTCTCTTTCCTGCTCTGGGTTCCCTACCAGGAGACCCTCTCTCCTGCTTGTCCCCAACGTCTCCCACCACTGGGTCTCAGGAGCCCCCTGGGAACTGTCCCAGGCGCACAGGTGTCCCAGGCGCACAGGCAGCTGCCTGGCTCGTGCAGAGCTCACGCAGGACAGAGGTCCCTGCCGCACAGCCCAGCCATGGGAAGTTCTTCCCTAGACCCCACTGAAAGCAATCTGGAGGCCTCCCGGGTCTTGGAAGGCCCGCCCCGTCTCACCAGCGCCGGCCAGCGTCAGTCAGCATCCTCGCACAGAAGGAACAGTGCATCGCAAAACGCCGCTCGTTTGGTGTACCTGCTCCCGTGCAAGATTGCCTTCCAGCCACTTCCCAGCTGAAACTGTTGGAATTACCAGTGCTTTGTGTTTTCCATTCCCGGCTAGAACTGAAAAATTCTCACCTCTTACTTCCCCCTTCCATTTTATGTTTTAAACTGTCCGGGCTGGTGATGAACGGTCAGCAGGCTCCCCCCAGATCAGTCCGTGACTGTGTGGGCTCGGTCCTCACCCCTGAGATGACATGAGAGGCCGTCTGTGGAGGGGAGACGGGTGGTCAGGTCCAGGGGCGTCACTGGGAGGGCCTGACAACCACAGATGCTGCTCTGACTCAGCAGGTGTGAGATGCCCTCCCTCCCCCTCCGCCTCGGAACTTGCCCCCAGGAGATGCTGCTGCCGCCGTCCGGGGAGCCCACCATGGGGACGGCTAGGTGAACCGGTGACGCTGAGGGGGCCACTCTGAGAGTGTTCCGATTGGGTTTAGGGACGGTCTGTCTAATTAACCCTTCTCTCCCCTCCCCCATCAGCTCCCACCCCCGCAGACTCACCTTCCTAATTCTGTCGCCCTCATGTTCAGATTCACATCTGTTTGCAGCACTGCCTGAGCAGACTCCACCCTAGGAAGGATGGAGGAGGTCACTGGGATGGTGGCGGGTGGGTCTGGGAAGCCCCAAGAGTTGTGACACCCGGAGGCGGGGTCTGCCATCGATAGTCTCCCTCGGGAATGAAGCTGCCGTCCAGGCCAGTGGAGGCTCTAAGCGCCCGCGTTCTCTCCCCCCGGGCTGCAGGAGGTGGACATCTACACGGTGAAGACGGAGGAGCTGTCCTTCACGTCTGCCTTCTGCCTGCAGATACAGCGCAATGACTACATCCACGCCCTGGTCACCTACTTCAACATCGAATTTACCAAGTGCCACAAGAAGATGGGGTTTTCCACAGGTGAGCCTTCTGTCGGCGTTCGAGGCCCTCGCTTGGGCCGGGGCTCTGTGAGGCATGACTGGGGCCTTAGTCCAGCCCTGGAGGGGTCGCACGTGCCCACAGGTTTGGCCGCCCAAGGAGAAGGTAAAAAGTTTGCGGCTGGCGTGGCCGGAGCCGAGAGCCTGTGCTGGGCGGGGAGAGGCAGGGGTTAAATGCGCGTCTGTTCATCCGGGACTTACGAGCATCTTCTGTGTGCGGAGGAGGATACGGGGTGGAATAAGATTTCTCTGTGCCCATGCCCCGTCTTACTGCAGACTCAGTGTCCCCCTGTGTAGGCTGCAGAATGTCCCTGTCTCCTTCCTGTCTTCCCTGCTTCTCCCCAGTCTGTCCCCGTTAAGTCCCTGACAGGCTCCCAAACTCCTGCAGCATCTCACTGCCTGTAACCGCGAAGCCCAGATTCCTTGGCCTGGTAAGTGGGGTGGGGGGGTCCCACGACCCCGCTCCAGCCACTTCCCCAGCCTCACTTCTCACCGCCCTCCTTGCTGGGCCCTCCGCCCCATCACCCCTCTGCTGCCACCGCTCACACGGCCCAGCCACACGGAGCGCTTGTAGCTCCCCGCACGTGGGCTTCCCGAGGCCCTGGGCCGCCGCCGACCCCGGCTGCGCCCCGGGGGCCGGGGCCTCTATCTGCTCTGCCTCCTTCCCTCCTGTGTGGGTCTGCTGTTCCGCAGAGTAGGGTCGGTGTGGGGGAGACTCAGGCAACAGGAACTTACCGCTCGCCGTCCAGAGGCCCCGGAGGTGTCTCCCACTGCCTCTCTCCTTGGCCTGCGCCCGGCGTCTCCTCGCCGTGCCCCACACGGCCCTCCCTCCTTGTGCATCCCTGGTGTCTCTCTGTGTGTCCCGATTGCCTGCGTCTCTAAAGACACAGGCCAGACTGGGTCAGCACCCACCCGCAGGGCCTCGGCTTAACTCGGTCGCTCCTTGAAAGACGTTATCCCAATACAATCCTGGTCTGGGGCAGTGGGGGTCCGGGCGCCAGCACAGGGATTTTGGGGGCTCACGGTTCCGTCTATAATGCCTCCCCACCCCTCCCCACCGGGCCGCCTCTAGCGCAGGCTGCATCTGCCCGTGCGGGTATTACTCGACTCTCCTTCCCTTTGGGGTCAAGGTCCTTACGTGTCCTGCTGGGAGCTCCCTGACGCCCTGTGCTTACGTCTGTCATGGAGGTGTTTAAAGCGATATATGTGCACGCTGACAAAAAAATAACAATGAAATATAAAAAAGGGCCTGAAAAGTCAAGGGGAGCCCTACGCAGTCCCGTGCCTCAGAGGCTCACACTGTCAGGGACACCTCTGGTAGCTTTTCAGCAAACGTCAGTGTGCACGAGCGACTGTCTACCTACGCACACTTCCTTGTCATTTGCAATAATTACAGCGTCACAGGAAGTTGCAAAAATAGTACATGGAGTTCTGGGAGCCCCACCCCAGCCGCCTCCGCTGGTGGCGTCTTCCACGACCGGAGGACAAGGCGCGGCTGCACCTGTCTTAGAGACACAGGTCAGGCTCATACCGCACGCACCGCCCTCCACAGCCTCGTCTGTTTAACCGCGGGTCTCAGAGATGCTGCCACAGCCTCACAGGGACACCCACTGCCTCCTCTTAAACAACCACCCAGGGTCCCGATGGCGGACGGGCTGTCGCTCACCGAGCATTTCCACCCTCCTGTGCCGCCCTGGGTCACACTCCGTAGCCTCTGCCCTCTGGCTTCTCCAGCAGGGCGTGGCTCGTAGCTCGCTCTGAGCTCGTGTTAGGTGAGTGCGCCAAGGCAGCACCCCTGCCCTGGGAGCGTGTTCACGTGGACCGTCCCCGCAAAGCCTTCCTGGGGACGCGGAGCTTGTCATCGGGGCTGAGTGGGGGCACATGAGGCAGGGCTAGGGCAGTGCTACCGAAATTTAAAAATCTGCTAATTCGCTTCCTAAGGCCCTGGTGATAGTGATCCCCTCTCACCTGTGCACAGAGCGGGCAAGGGACTTGCCTAATCCCCCCGCTAAGAAGGGCTTGTCCCAGGGCCAGCGCCTCCTGACCACCAAGACCAGGGTCTCTGGTCTCCATCAGCCAGGCCAGCACTGGCGCCTCCCCACCCTGGAGAAAACCAGAGACCCCGTGGGGTCAGAATATTAAAGGGCTGAAGGTATCGCTGTAGTGGGGAAAGCTGAAAGCCAGTTATGCGCTTGAAGGCTGCAGTGGGGGCAGGGGCGGGAGGGGAAGGCTCATTCACTGACCAGTACCCTAAATGCGTGGTCCATAGCGGTGTGTGTGGCGGGAAGGGAACAGCTCAGCGGGAGAGCGCGTGCTTAGCATGCACGAGGTCCTGGGTGCCATCCCCAGCACGGCCATTAAAATAAAAACAAGTAAATAAAACCTAGTTGCTACCCCTCCATCCCCCAAAAAATCCATAGTGGAGGTGCGTGCTCACCGTGGTGCAGAGCAACTTTCTGGATAATCCCTAGAACATTCTGGACCATGACAGTGGGGCTGTGCATGCCAGAGTTACAGTTCGTGGATAAAGAAGGTGATGCACCACTTTCTACAGTGACCAGTGACCGCCTAGTGCAGTGGCTCCGCCAGACCCTAACCGGGACCTGCTGTGGCACAGGTCGGGCGACCGTAAAGTTCGTCTTTCAGCCGAGGACACGCTGAGAGTGAAAGGGAGAGCTATTAATAATTAGGCCAGGACAATGGTCCTGGGCACAGCGGGGTCGGTCCGGTTCAGTGCACCCTTTCCCTTCCCATCCCTCCTGGTCCCCCACCTGACCCCCTCGGTCCCTCGGGACACGAGCATCATTCTGCAGATATCGAAAATGAGCCCCGGGGGCGCAGTGCAGACACATGCACAATGCAGACTGGAAACCGGGCTGTTGCTGCCTAATTAAGTGTCCTTTCCACGACACCCACCCGAGCGGCATTATTAGATGCGAACGACTGGGCCTGCACAGTATCTGGGTCTGCACAGCGATCTCGGCTGTGGCGGTGTGTCTGCAACCCCTGGGGCAGATTTCTACATCTTGGCAAGCCTACCCCCTCCTCACGCCCCAGAATTACTGGATTCAAATCTCTGGGAGTCGAGTCAAAACATCTGAATTTTCATCAGCTTCTCCTGGACACCAGGATGGAGAATCAGGATTGAGAAAGCTGCTTTAGACGATTCGTCCATGGACCCATCATGGAAGTGAGATGTTGGGGGAAGTTCGTAACCTTTTGATGTCAAGGGGAAAAACACTTTCCTTCAACTCAAGGCTGGTGTGTTTTGGGGCGCCACCATCAGAGGCAGACTCCTAGGTTTGTTGGCTGGCAAATCTGAGCCAGCGGAGTCTCAGAGCGCCTAGAAGGCGTCTGATCAGGAGGCAGAAGGAAGCTGCTTGCATCTCCTTGCCTGAAGGTCTTCAAGAACAGGAGAGACACCTGTCTGAGCTGGCGTGGGTGGCCGCGGGGGCGAGGGTGCTGTCAATGACTCACTGCCAATCTCACACACACCGGAGACTCTCTTTCGACAATCCATTTAGATGTTGTTGGCAGGGCAGGTGCTGGGAGCAGGTGGACTTTGTCCGTGGACAGCAGTGTGCCTTAGAGGCCAGGAAGGCAGGATGTGTTTGGAGATCCAGGATCTGAGAGGCACAGATTGCATGTTCGTGACGTCAGGATCCTCCTTCCAGCCCTTCCAAATGCTCAGGATGCTCCCCCTGCCCACGACCTTGAACTTGCATTGATTTCCCACGTGCATGGAAGGCTCCTCGAGTCTCTGTCCAAACCACTGACGTTCAGTCGAGCCAGGTCATGGCGAAGGGCAAAGACAGACTCTTCCCTGCCACTAAAACAGCCCTTGGGGTTTGAACGCTCCTAGCGGTGCCCTGGTCTGATTGGGCGCACGGTAAATCCCGTCAGCGGTTGCGTGTGAACACCTCTTGTCTGGACTGCAGGTGGCTCACACAAATGTGAGACAGCCCCAGTTACTCCTGGGAATTAAAGCCCTGCCTTCTGAGGGGTCCCAGTCTCTGTTCTGCCTCCGTAGCCACGTAGAAGGCCACATAGAGGTCTCTCTGTGTGACAGGTTTTGAATTATTTGAAAGGCACTTACTAGAGTCCCTGTAGGTCTTAGCGCCTCTAGTCTTAAGAAAAGAGGAAGTGAGTGTCAACGCGTCGTGCATCCTGGCGGAGGAAGGTAGGAGCCGCAAGGCCTGTAAGGCGGGCTTTCCTCCATCCGTCGGTTCCGAAGCCTCGATGTCACTCAACACCTGTGGGGGCATTGAAGCTTCGCCATCTCCTCTTTGGGTTTTCACCGTCGCTCATCTATTCGGTACTCACAGATCTAGCAAGGGTGGTGGTGGGCACTCAAGGTGCCCTTTATCCAGGTGGGTGGTCAGGCAAAGCTTCCTGGAGGACGTGACCTTGAAGGGTAAGGAAGGAGAGGCTGGTGACTAGGAGGGAAGAGTGGTCCAATGACGACTGGGGCTGAAGAGGGTGGCCCATGAGGCGAGACCCCATCTGTTGTAGAATTAGTCGTGTGCCAAGGGGGTGGGTGGGATTTCAGGGCAAATACAGGGGAGGCGCAGCACCAGCGTGGCTCCAGATGGGGCATGAGGTGTGTGCTGTGCACCAGCGTTGAGCCTGTGGACTGAGAATCATCCCCAGTTTTTATCTGACCCAGGTAGGAGGGTGCAGCCGAACCCCACGGCCAGCCTGGAGCAGGGTGCTGGGATGGGTTCAGAGCGGCAGGCCAGGAAAGCTATTCGTAGGATGGAGATGTCCGTGAAATTGGGGAAACCGGTTTAGCCATGGAGTTGGCATAAACGGTGTCATTTAAGGGGAGATGGGGCGGACCACTCTACAAACCTCCCTGGCCCCCCACTGTCTGAAAGTCTTCACTCTGTTGAACTAATGAAAAACAGTAGCATTTTGAGATTCGTTGGGTTAATACTGCCCCTGGGCGTGAATGTGTTTCTCTTCTGCTCCTCAGCTCAGAGCCGCAATCCTGATGGCAGGAGGAGTCCCCAGGCTGAGTGGGGGTCCTGCAGGGGCCGGGCAGATTGCTGGAGTGGAGGGGCTCGGTGAGTCCCAGAGGAAGCCCAGCAGCTTCCGGGCAGGGTCCCAGCTTCAGCCCCTCTGGAGATGTCTGGTCTGACTCCTTCCCCCTGGCTCTGTTCTTCATCCCTCAGCCCCCGACGCCCCCTACACCCACTGGAAGCAGACTGTCTTCTACTTGGAAGATTACCTCACTGTCCGGAGAGGGGAAGAAATCTACGGGACCATATCCATGAAGCCAAATGCCAAAAACGTGGTGAGTGCCGAGAGGAGGAGGGACGGGCGGGGCTGGCTCCCAGGGAGCTGCAGGGACCCACTCACCCGGGTACCGGGGCGCCTCGCGCACAGTCAGACTAAGTACAGAGGAGGCAGGAGGAAGTGGATTTGGATGTGCCTGCATCACTGAAGGACTCCAACCTGGGCCCCTTACAACTCGGGAACTGGAGCCTTCCCGCAGGCCTCCTGGGGACCCTCCCAGCCTTGAGGACGGCTTCCAGCTATTCACGGGAGGGGTTTTGAGAACAGAGGCTGTTGCCCTGGGTTTCACCTCATTTAGGACGAGGTGAGCCGGAAGAGAACAGCTTCTGGTGGCCTAGAAGACCAGGCGTGCATTCCTTGCGCTGGCCTGCTGGGCTGGAGACCCAGCCAGGTGCCTGGAGGGCCCTGCCTCCGGGAGGCTCGACCACCCCACTCTGTCTTCCCCTGGGATGAAACCAGAGGGCAAACTTTTGTATTCTAGCAGGAAGGATTTGGGTTGGAAATCTAAGACCTTCCTGTGCTTACGGAGAACGAGGCACCAGAAGAGGCTCCCCGGGGCTGTTTGTGGGACCCCTGAGCCAGGAACCCTTAGCAGCTCAGGGGAGCCCCGCCCACTGTGGGGAGGGGCGCGGCCCCACCTCCTTCCGCACTGATGCCCTGACTGCTCCTTCTTTGCAGCGAGACCTCGATTTCACAGTAGACTTGGATTTTAAGGGACAGCTGTGCGAAACATCTGTATCTAATTACTACAAAATGCGTTAGCACACGTGGGAGGCTGCCGGGAGCGGGCGAGAGCAGAAACTCACCTCCGTCTGCGGCGCTGCCCCGGGGACCCTGTTTGCAGGACTACACGCTCAAAACTGGAGTCTGAAACCCTGCCCTCGAGATTGGTGAACTCACCGGCCTCCCGGGGGCCCGCCACTGGACAGAGGGCCCCCAGCTCCTCCGCTCTGCCCAGGGGGCCCTTCTCACAGGCTCTGTCATCGGACAGAGAGCCGCGGGCGGCGCGGCAGCTGGGCCCCGGTGGGGGAGCCCACACGTGCCCCCTCGCCCCCTAACTGTGACTCTCTGGGATCTTCAGGTTTTGCATGCTGCAGGCACCTAGGACAGACTGCTTCCCTAGAACCTGGAGACATAGTGTCTGATAGCGCAAGCCGGACTCCCCCGTGTGCGCGGCGGTGCGTGCGTGTGCGTGTGTGTGTGCGGGGCCGGCAGGCCTAGCAGTTTATTTAAGCGGCACACCGGTTTGTGCGTGCCTAGAGGGCCGAGTGGGTTGTCTGTGTGTCTCCAGGGGTGTGTGTGCGCGTGTGTGCGTGCGTGTGCGTAGACATCTATTGCTCTCAGAGGAGATTCTGTTGCTTTCGAGTAGGACTTTGTTTTGTGATTAGTTCTCCCTCCCCCACCCCGTCCCGGGTGTTAAGCTGCTGTGAGACGTTCTCTGTACTAGCTCCGGTCTCCTTTTGACTAGACTGTGGCTCTGAACCCTGAGCATAGTACCGTGCCCTCCATGAGCGCTCAATAAATGCACATGAGAGGGAAGTGTGCCTGGTGCTCTGGGGGGTGGGGTGGGGAGTGGGACAGAAGAGCCCATGGTGCTGCTCCCGGAAGGATGGGAGCTCCTTGGTGGAAGCTGTTGTGAAGCTGGGACTGGCCCAAGGGCATCTCCCCTGCAACCCTCGGGGGTGGGAGGAGGGTCCTGGAGCTGGGGTGGGGGGATGTGAGTTAACCTAGAGCGCCCCAGAAGAGGAGGCCACGTGCAGCCTGGAGGGAGGCCGAGGTCAGGAGCAGAGGAAGCCAGGAGGGCCCGGAGGAGAAGGAGATGGTGGCTGAGTGTGTGGTCCTGGGCCCCTGGTGAGAGACTAGGGCGGGGTCTGAGGGTGAGGCCGATGGAGGTACCCTCCGGACTGTGGTGGTGGATGGTTGCGTTCCTGCTCCTCTGCCCCACTGCCGGCTGCCTGGGCTGGTGTCAGCGTCTGGCAGGGCCTGCGCGCCCCCCAGCATCAGGAACGTGCCCATCTTGAATGGGGCACCCACAGAGCCCAGATCAAACAGCTCGGGTCCTGGCGGTGGCAACCTGGGCTCCTACGGAAGCTCTCTTCCCCAGTGTGTTGATGTATCTCCAGTCCCCCTGCCACCTCTAACCCTTTAGCCTCGGGTCCCCTCCCAGAGAAGACAGAGTCAGAAGGGGGCCTGCCAGGTCAGCAAAGGCCTGATTCTCCAAAGGCCCAGAATGTTCCCTTCCTGGGAGAGGGCAGAGGGTGTGGGATCCTGCCCCTGGGGAAGTGCCTAAGTGCGGATCCCTTGTGTCCTCCTGGGCTGGGAGAGCCCTGGGCAGCCCGGGCTGGTTGTCAGTGTGACCGAGGCGTGGTGAGTCAGGAGAACAGATCAGCAGGGTTCTTCTCTGCGCCCAGGGCCGGCAGTGAGCCTCCCAGGAGATCATCCGTGCAGGAAGGAGCAGAACCTAGAGGCGGGGAAACGTCGTGCTGCACGCATGGTCACGTGGTCTGGGAATCTTGCGTGGCCTCCTAATAGGGAAGACCAGCCTGGGGCAGGAGGGGAGACACACTCCCACCTGTTACCTGGAGGCTGACAGTGGCTTCCAGACCAGGGGTGCGTGCTGCGCCTCCCCAGCACGGCGGCTCCGGCTCTGGTCTGTCCTGGGGAGCAGACGCGGTGCTGGGCAAGGGGAACCCAGCAGAGAACAAAGCAGACCCCAAGAGCAGCCTCTGAGCAAGAGCGACGCCGATTACGAGGCAGCGGGGACTCTTAGGGGTTGAAGGGAACCTCTCTGAAGATGTGACTTTAAACAGAAACTTGAAAACGCAGGAGGAGAGGATAAGGGAAGGAGGGGCAGGGACAGCACGGCCCGGGCCCTGCCCAGAGGGGAAGAGGGAAAGGCTGAGGCTGGGGGAGCAGGCAGAAGGGGTCCGAGGTGGAGAGCCGGTGGCCACGTCAAGGAGGCTTGTCCTTGGGCGGTGAGAAGACGCTGGAGGGCTTGAATCAGGACCCGGTTCCCACGCCACCCGTGCTCTGAAGCTGATGAGCTCAGTTTGGCGGTGGCTTGCCCTGCAAAATGGCCCTAGACTTCACTTATTGCTGCTTCAGAAAGTCAGCCGCAGAAAGGTAAGCGGGGAGGCAGCCGGCAGGATGTCTGGAGCCCTGGGGGAGCGGGGGCTTCTCTGGGTGCTGCTGTGCAAGATGGCAGGAGTGCGGACGGCCGTCCAGGAGGATCACCGCGCGCACCTGTAGGGAATGGCAGAGGGGCAGCTTGTGCGGCCCTGAAACCATCGGGATCGTCCTTTCCGGTGTCGTGTCGCCCTGCTCTTCCCACAAGGGCGGCTCGGAGGATGTCATTGTCTGGGAGGCGGGAGGGAGCACGGCGTCCGCGGGAGGCTGGCGGGTGTTCCGGGATTGTTCTGCTGTCTTCAAGCTCCCGGCGGCCGTTTCCAGGGGAGCCCGGTGGGCGGCACCATGTTCCACTCCCAGAGCCCATCCTCAAAGCATCTCTCAGGCTCCGTAGGTGGCAGTGGTTCCTGATGCGATGACCATGGCTTTCTGGCCATGGTTCGTTCCCTTGGTTGGATGGAGCTTCATGATTGAAGCCAAAGACCCCGGCTTCTCAGGCTCCCGCTCAGCTTCGTGGTCGTGGTCGATGCCTGGAACTCCAGCCGGCCCCAGAGATAAACAGACCTGGGGTGGCAGCCCGGCTCCTCCAGGCGGCTGTGAGCCTGCAGCAAGTTAGTGAAATTGCCTGTTCCCATGTGAATCCTTCCTCTGCTCAATGGCCTGATCATCACTCCTTTGTCCTGGATGACGAGATAGTGCGGGATGGCCGGGAAATACACCGTGCTCAGACTGAACCGAGCGCCCCGGACAAGGACGTGCAGGGGCCCCTGGTGGGAGAAGCGCCTTCAGGCAGTCTCTGCCCACAGCGGGTCAGGGTGCTTGCTTCCTGGGGCCAGAGACAAGGTACACGATCCTCTGTTGCTTGGAAACCTTTCTGAAGGTGACCTTGGAGAGGCTGGGATCAGGGACGACGGGAGAGGTCAGAGCAGGGCCAGGGCTTGGGGGACCTCAAGCTATGAAACAGGACTCAGGACTGGGACCAGAGTTGGAATGGGGGCTGATGCCTGCCCGTTGTGGCAGGAGGCTGCCCCTGAGACGGGAGCAGCCTGGGGCACGGTGCAGTGTGGACTCTGACCTGGAGGACTGCGTTCCAGCCCCGAGTCTCCCATAAGCTCCCGGCTGTGTGACATGCAGCAAGTCAGCCTCTCTGCCTCAGTTTCCTCTACCTGCAAACTGGCGGTGACCCAGTCACCTCCCTCAGGGTGGAGGTGCAGGCCAAGTGGGGACCGTGCCCGGGACCCAGCGTGCTTGTGTGTGACCCATATTACGACTGTGATGGCAGCTCTGACGGGGGCCAGCCTGAGCGTCGCCGGGGCTGGGACGCACGGCCCTGCTGAGCCCTGCTGAGCCCTGCTGGGCTCCCTACGCCTCTGGGTGAATGTCTGCCCACCCGCGCCTGCTGTGTTAGCCTGTCTCCCCCACTGAGCTCCTGGGGGCAGGTGCATCTCACTTACACTTGCGTTCAGTGCTGGAGACAGAGCCCGGCCGTCACAGGGGTCCAGGGAGTATTTGCCAAATGAGCAGGTGATGACTTGCAGCCGTGACGCTCCCGTCAGCTGCCAGCACCTGCTGCTGCCACTCTCGGAACCTACCTCCGTGTGGCCTGGAGGCCCGCACTGTCCCCGCTGGGCCTCCGTGTTCTCACTTGTAAAACGGCAGTGTCAGCCTAGACTCTCCAGGCCTCCATCCAGCGTGCAGGTCTGTGACTTTCCAGTCCTGCAGCTCCACAGTTTTTAACTGTGTGGCCCTGGCTCAGAGCTGTCCAAGCACCTCCTAGTGGGGAGGGGAGAACAGGTGCCGGGCTTTCGGGGAGGTCAGGGGTCAAGGTGAGAACAGGAGGTGAGGAGGAAAGGCGCTTCCCCCCAGGACTGCAGCGGCATCACCCGTGGGGACTGCCAGTGCGCAGCAGAGGGGAGCGGGGCTGGCCAGGCTGGTGTCAGTCCGTGGCTCTGCTGAGCTGGGACTATCTCTTGGAAATCATTTTAACAACTGAGAGGAAATGGAATGACGGATGTGGCTGCTGCCTGGCCAGGGCTGGGCGTTAACTCGGCTCTGCTGATGCTGCCTGTCGACAGTCTCCGATGAGAAGCCCTCGCGAGCGTCACTCCCGGTGCTTCTAACGAGTGGGCCTCGGAGAGGCGGGCTTCCGGGGAAGGCGGGGAGGGCTGGGCCGGGGTCCAGGAGTAGGGGAGGCCTGGGAGAGGTGGACGGGATCACGTTGAACAGTGATCTGGCCGGGGCGTAGGGTCCTGGGTAGGACAGCTCCAGCCCTGCTCTGGAGGAGGTCCTCACGCTCTGTGAGTCTCAGCCTCCTTGGAGAGAAAATGGTCCAAGAGGGTGCACAGGAGAGACTTGTGAACTCTGAAGTCCGGCTGCTTGTGAGTTTTCTGTTATCCCCTCCCAGTCCACAGCGCACAGCCAGGTTTGATTATTCAGGATGTGGAGGGTGGGGGAACGATGGCCTGGGGAATTCAAAGTAGCGGGTGATACAAAATTCAGTTTTATGTGGCTTGAGGTCTGCAGTGTGTAATCCCTCCTGACTCTAACCACTGCAACCCTGGCAGCGGGCCGCCTGCCCGCAGGTGGAGGGCACGCCGTGGGGCCCACGTATCGAGCCTCCACGTGTTGATGCTCAGGGCTTAGAGAGAATTTGGTTTAAGTTGCAGCAGGGGAAAGTCGGGTTAGATCCACCAAAGTGAGCCGAGGACCCAGAATATCTGGGGACGGACGGGGACGCCGGCTGTGACAGTAGCCCACCACCGGTGGGTGACTGGGAGCTGTGGGGCTCTGGAGGTAGCAGACGGCCTTCCTGGACAACTGAACGCTGGATGCGGGAAGGCTGGCTGTGATCGCCTGGCAGCGAGCCAGGAGCCAGCATGTCCTCACCTGTCCTCACATGTAGCTGAGGGACTCTAGACCCCAGGGCCACCCAGCCATGGCTCAGGCTGCAGACTTCAGGGCCGCCGAGAGAAGGGGAGGGGTGGGGAGAGAAGGGGGAGATGGGCCTCATGAATGAAGAGTGCTCTGGGAGGGGGTGGGGGTAGGGGAGGAAGGAGAGAGGGCGGGGCGGGTATGGAGGAAGGAAAATGAGGCCTCATCTGCTTGTTTGTGTTTCCTGTATTTAAGATGCTGACTTCTAGCATATTTTTAAATCCATCAGACGCGAAAGGCTGATTTAAATAGATCTGCAGTGTGAAGCTGGTAATTTCACTTGCCACAGTGGAGGAGCCGGCAGGATTCAGCGCCTCTCCCCATGCCAGGGACGCTATAGAAACACGCATCTCCCTGGGGCTTTCAGGCAGGTGCGTGCCTCCCTGACTGTGGGAGGGGGACACGGACTTGGCGGGAGGGGGTGAGAGTTAGCAGGAAACTGAACTGGAGGCGTGAACCAGCCCAACATTCTCCTGGCCCAGGGGGGCTTCCTGGTTCAACCCATTCTGACTCCCAGCCACATCTTACACGACATACTGTCATTTCAGTGTCAGCCCGAAAGAATCCTAGACTCTTGGGGTTGGTGCAGTGCGGGTGGGGGCCTGGTAGTTTGCAGCATCCAGTGTCTCCCTGCATTCCTAAGAGCAGAGCCCCCACATCTGCTTGAACATCTCCAGTGTCAGAGAGCTCGCTGCCTAGCGAGACAGCCTGTCCCGTTGCTGGGCAGTGTGCACCAGGACAAGGCCCCCTGGGGGCAGCTGCAGTCCGCGTTCTAGTCTGGTCCTCTTGGCTTAGTGCCAAAGTCAGCCCTCATCCCTGAACACGGTGTTCAGGTCCCTCCCCAGCTCCAAGCCTAGGCCAGTTCTGAGGCCCCTTACCGTCAACTATTAATGCCGTTCAGTCTCTGCAAAACCCAAATATTTCTGGGAGCTAAATTGACATCTTCCCTGCTGTAGGAGTGCATCTTTCCCGATGCAGCAAGATTCCGGAAGCAACAGAAGACTCTGTCATTTATTTTGTGCTGTCATTCAACACACTTGGGCCCCTACTCTGGGGCCAGGCTGGACCTACCGCTGGCATTCGGGGTATGGAGGTCCCCTCCTCCCCAGGAAATTATCTACGGGGCGAGGAGGCCAACTCCTAAAGAGAAGAGTGTGCACGGGTCGGGTGGGGTGGGGGGCCAGGCCGGGGTCGGCTCCGCGCCCTTCAGGGAGGGGAGCCTGGGGTTGCTGTCTGTGAGTTTTCACAAGCCGTTAATGTGTCCTTGGGGGCTTCCCGGTGTCTCCTCCCCTCAGTGCACCGGAAGTTCAAGGGCCTTAAGCAGCCTTGCCTTCCTTCCCTGCTCCTTCACCCCCTGACACAGCTGAGATTCACACTGGGTGCCTGAGAGCCTCATTTGCTGGGCGTTGAAGACACTCAGCCCTTCACTCCTTCATGGGACATAAATGTTTGCGGAGGAGCTCGTTCCGAAAAGAATGTACTGTGGTAAAATATACATAACACACATTCACCATTTCAACCATTTAAAATGTCCAATTCAGAGGCACTAAGCACATTCACAGTAGTGGGTGCAGCCAGCACTCCCTGCCCCCCAACCCGAGACCGTGCCCACCGCCCCACAGAGAAGGTCCTCGGGACACCGCGCGTGTGAAGGTGCTTCAGGGACGAGTGTGGCACCCGTGGGACCTCCACCTGCCTGGTGTCTAGGCAGCACCAGGCCCCAGCAACTACAAAGTTCTGAGACCAGAGCCCTGCTGGGGGAGCCTGGAGCCTGGAGCCTGGCCCCCGCCCACCTTCAGGGCAGCGGGGGAAGATGCGGAACAGCCCGAGACCAAGTCTCCGGCTTTGCCCTACCAGCCAGGAAGTAGGAGACGCGCTTACCTGAGGCCCCAGCTTCTCTCGGTTACCATCCCTCCTATTGCCTTTTGCTCTGGTCCCTTCGCGGGAGACAGACGTCATGCGAACGCTGTTTAGAGCTCTTCAGTTGGCTAAGGCCCTACCCAGGCTTCTCACGCGACCTGCACACCGCCCTGGGAGACCGGTGGGGCAGAGAGCCGTTTCATGGATTTGCCAGCTGGGGCTCAGAGCATCAGGCAGTCCTGGGTTTTGCCCAGGGCCACCAACTTGTGAGCAGGTTCTCACTCTGCACAGGTCCTCGGGCTAGAGGAAGGACTGGGATTGGTGCCGCTGCGCGAAGGTGGCTGGTTCCGCTCCAGGAGGGAGGCGGACCGGGCCGGGAAGCGCGCTTCACTGCCTGGAGGCACGGAGCCCGGGTCCCGCTGGCCGCTGAGCGGCCTGCAGGTAACAACGGCGCTGGGATGGAGGCTTGGATGGGCCCCACGCTGTCGCAAAGGCAGTCAAATGGCAGCAGCTGGAATGCTCCTCGGCACTGTGTTGTAAACCCAGAAGCAGCCCCTCGTTTGCACCAGTGAGCCAAACCCCGCAGGTCGCCTCGGCCACAGGGGCCCAGGCGTGCAGCCTCTGGGCCCCGGGCCCCTGGGGAGTGAGTGACCCACCCAGAGGTGGGCCTTGCTCTCGAGACGCCAGCTCTGCTCTCACCGGGACCTTCAGGCGAACACTGCCGGCCAGACCCCGCGTGACAGGCGGTGACAGAGGTGAGTGCTCCCGCCCTCCGGAGGCAGTCCCCGGGTGCCCGCACCGCCTCCACAGAGTGGCCCGGCAGCCCACGCCCCTGTGCCGGGTCACCCCGAGCCTCTGCCCTGGACACCTGCCCACGGAACCCCAGGTTCCACAGTCACATGACCCAGACTCACTCTGAGGCCCCTTGAGGGCCACATGCTTCAATCCCTGTTTTCAAGCCAAAAAAGCTCCCCCCTCCCCATGCACGTGCTCGGGCACCTGTGCTCGGCGGCGCCAGGGCCAGTGCCGTCACGGGGGGCCGCGGCCGGCAGTGCGCTCGGTTCACATCTCAAACGCCTGCAAGATGCCAACATCACGGCCACTTTTAAAAAGAATTAAAACAGCCTTCTGGAAAAGGTAAAATCAAATGAAGTCAGCAGCTGTGGACCTGGGGTCAGGCCTCCCTGCCTGCCTGTCAATCTACCAAGTTAATCAGCACGTACGATTTTCTGAGAGCTATTTTGAGGACATTTAGAAAGTGGCTTTTACACGCTGTGTGTGCCTTATTTACACCCTCCGGACACGGTCGCTCTGTTTAGCAGCAGATGTTTTTTTTCCCCCTTGTTTTCTTTTCCTCTCGTCAAAGTCAAGCCTGTAGTGAGCCCACTCCCTAACCCCAGGCAAACACTTCTCAGCCCCAGAGCACCTGGAGTCGGGGTTGTGGGTGGGCAGTGGTTTTCAAAGGCGCGGCTCCAGAAAACCCAAGCGGACAAATAGGGGAGGTGTGGTGGCTGCTGAGAGAGGAGGGGCCCTGAAGCTGGGGAAGGAGCAGGACCCCTGGGGGGACAGGGTGGAACCAGAGGTAGGTGCCCAGGTCCATGACGCATGTGCCGAGAGCATCCCATCAGGTCCAGGGACAGGCTCTGAGGCCAGACCAACGCCCTGGCACCACCCAGCGCTGTCTCTGGCCTACAGGAAGCAGCAAGTCGCTGGCACAGTTGCCATGGCAACCTCAGGGGCCAGGCTCAGAGGAGCATGGGCGGGGGGAGAAGGCACGTGGTGGCTTTTCTGGAAAAGTCCATCTGTTTCTTTCCCCCAAGAAACCAAGTTGATGGGGGAGAAAAGAAAGGAACAGGCCTCCGGGTCTAGACAGAGACGGGAGAGAAAAGACCCCAAGATGCACCAGGAGCAGCTTTCCTGGTGGGATGTGCTCCCCTTCCCTTGGGGCACGTCACCCACAAGGACAGCGGTCCAGTCTCGGTCGGGGCCCTGGCACAGGAGTCCGTGTGCAGGAGGCAGGGGAGACCCTGTGGCCTCGGGCCCGGGCGGGGGTCCTGGGAGGCCTGTATCAGCCGCAGCAGGCTTTCTTCTTGGCAGGGCGGTCGACCTGAAGGGTGTCCCCCCTCACTGTGTCTTCTTGCTCCTTGAGGATCCTGGGAGAGGGAAAGGTACAGGGTCACAGCGGAGAAGCTGCTAGGCACCTCAGGTTACAGGCCGCCTGGACCACAGGGAGGGACCCAGCCTCACCGGAGCATCAGAGACAGTACTCCAAGTCGCCCCCTGGCGAGCCCAGGTGCACGACTGTAATGGATAAAGCCGGAGTACAGTCCATACGGCTCCTTCACAACGCCTCCTCCAGGAAGCCTCCCCGATCCTCTGGGTGGCGTAAGTTCCCCAGCAGCACTTGGCCCCTTCCTCTGCTGTAACCCCATCACCGGGTGTAATGCACTGTCCACGGTTGGCTCCCTGGGCAGAGAGTGAGCTGCTGGGAGCAGGGGCTGTATCTTTGGTCTCTGCAGCGTATCACAGTACTGGGCACACAGTGGAGGCTCAGGAATGATACTGATTGGTTATTAACTTTATGGAAGGGCTTCCCCCTTGGCCCCAGCTCCAGATAAAATATAAGAGGTGAAGGATTAAAAATAGCAGTAAGTATCCTATCTCTGCTTTATACTTTCAAAGAACTTCCACCTCAGCGTCTCTTCTGATTTTCACAACAGCCCCTGGGCGGGCAGGGAAGGTACACACGGATGTTGGGGGTCAAAGCTCAGAGAGGCAGGGTGACTTGCCTGGGGGTCAGTGGCAGAGAAAACCCTAGAACTTTCCCCATAACTCCCTAGGTCTTCCATAACCTAACCCCTCCAGTGCATCGAAGTTGTTCTGGGCTCTTAATTACTCAAATAAAAATAGGTTTGAGATGCCCCAGAATGAATGCTGAGCATAAAATGAGTCTAGTCAGTATCTGCTGGATGGAAAGTGGATGGATGGATAGATGGAATGGTCGGATGGATAGAATGGATGGATGATGGATGGATGGATGGAATGGATGCATGCGTAGATGGATGGATGAACGTGTGAATGTCGAAGGATTAAAAATTGGTCTGTGTGGTCTGTTTCCTTAGTTTCGGTGTAGGCAGAGGCTTATGGGACCAGTCCTTTGAGCACCATCCCCTTGGGTGCCTCTGTCCCCATCACAGCCCCTCTTCTTGGCTGCCCCTCCCCCACCAGGAGCCCGCATCACCATCCTCTTGCCCCCTCTGGCTGCCAGCTAAGCCCCACTAAATATTAGCCAGCCTTGAGGGGCCTCTGATGTGACCGTTCCCAGGAATATTTGCATTTAAAAAGAGGATCCCTGGGAAAAGGACAGCCCTTTAAGTCTCAGAAGAAGGCGGCTGCGGAAGGGGTGACAGGCAAGGGGGCTTTCTTTTTGTCACTGTGTTTCAGAGGGCTGTCCCTGACCCCTGGGTTCCCACACAAAGGCCAAGGCCTGCAGCCCCTTTACCCAGACAGAGGCAGGGCCTCCCCCAGGGACGGCACAGCAGGGGCACGTCCCCTGCTGGGTTGTCTCTCTTTACCTGGCCAGATGGAGCACGGACTCTCGGGTGTTGTGACCGGAGTAGGCACTGCATTCATAGAAGATCAGACTGTTTTCCTGGAGTCACAGAACAGAGGGAAGGAAGGAGGAGGTGGGGGCGCTGGAGGAGGCGAGGGGAGGCGGAGGAGAACGCCTGTCCACATCTCCCACGCCCTCCCTTCCTCTCGCCCCCTTCCCACTCTGTGCCAGGTTGATTTCTGTGCCCTCCGGCTCCCTGACTGAGGGGGCGTCCGGAGCCATCGGTAACCTGGGTGAGCTGTACCAGCTGCAAACAGCACAACCCACGCTGCGGCCCCAGCGCTCCACGCCTCCAGCTGCTCTCCAGTGTGTCCGGGCCCGTTTCCCCTTTTCGCTCCAGCCTGGGAAGCAGGCAAAGACTGAGGGCATCCTTCCCACGTCACAGGCAGGGAAGCCGAGGTGAGAGGCCCGTCAGGTCGCAGCAGGGGTCCCAGCAGCCAGTGCTCCCCAGGACGTTGGCCCAGTGAATTAATACACTGTTAAGGAGTCCTCCAGCAGCCCACATGTCTCGGGACAACACCCATCACTTCACTGGGCCAGCATGGGGGTGGGGTCAAGGGTCATTGTTATCCACCCATCACTCCCATCAACAGGTCTCCTGCTTTGCTAATGCCAGTGCTAGTGGCATCTGGCATGAGCCCTGGAGGCTGGTGCCCTGTGGGGACGGGCAGCTGGGGATGCCTGCAAACGCTGGCCCCACCCATCCTCTGCCCCCTTCACCAGTCCCCGGCACACCTCTGTCCCACCCCGACTCCCTTCGACCTGTGGCAGAATGGAGGCTCCGTGGTGGGGGTGGGGCACTCCCGGACCCAGAAATGGGAGACAGCATTTGCCTTCCAGCTTCAGCCCTGAGCCCACCAGGGAGGAACTGCGTGATAATTCGAAGAAATCACTTAACTTCTCTGAGTCGTGTTTTTTGTTTTCACTTACAGAAAAAAAAAAGGCGGAGGGGTGGGGGTAGAAAGAAGAGAAAAGAAAACGGGATGGTAACACAGGGCTGCCGTCCCTCGATCAAAATCCTTGAATCCAGATGCATCTTGGAATCCAGAATTTTTACATTTTAGAAAGAAGATGCAGGCACATAGCATGTATTACATAATAGCCTCAGCGAGTCCGGGAGAGCGCCCTGTAATCTACTGTATGAATATTTCTTCAGGGGAACATTTGAATATTCATTCAAAATGAAGTGAACAAAAACCCGTAAATGGTCTCACAGTGGTTCTGGTCAGGTTTTTCTGCCAAACAAAGTGCAAAAAAAGCCCCTCCCTGCGCTTAGAGCTCTGCGGATTCAGAATGGTGGATGCGGGTCTGCGTGTGGACATGCGGCTGCCGGGGGGGCCCCCCTTCCTCCTCCTCTCCCCTCGAGCCTCGCCGCCTGTGCCCGCCTTCCTGGCCTCCGAGGCCAGGAGCCTCCGACTAGACCTACGAACACACTAAGAATTACGGGGTCCTGGGAAATCCTTGTGGGGAAGCACCAGTGCCCCCGACACGTGGTTCCCGGAAAACCGCTCTGCTTGGGCCGGGGGGCTGAAGCTTGCTTTAACAGAAAGCTTCCCAGCACGTGCCCTGAGTTTATCTTGGGCTTGCGCTGGGAGGCTCAGCCCTGGTAGGAAGGGAGAGCGTTCTAACAGAGCTGTCCGGGGACGGGCACGTTGTCTGGTGGGTGGTGAGCGCTTCATCCCTGAGCGCGACCAAGCGGGGAAGCACAGATGAAGGGATTCAAGTATCAGATGCGGGACTGAAGTAAGTAATCTCCTTACTGTGAGTGAAAAACAACTGCCTGCCGTCGGTAAGTGAAGGATGCTGCAGCCATCAAGCCCTCCCACTGCAGCTGCCCCGACGGGGAGCCCAGGGGGCGCTCAGGATGGAAACAGGGTGTTTGATACCAAGCTGCCAGCCACTGCAGGCACCCCAAAAAATGGCACCCCCCCGAGGAGACTCGGAATGGGGAAGCACAGGACACTGGCCCTAGACATCGAAGGAACGATTTCAGTGAGCCCAGACTTTTGCAACTTCCCATTCACAGAAAAGCGCTAAATTTCCTTAACTTGAGATGTCTGCTTTTCTTTAATTAACACCAATCTTTGGATGTTCCAGACTAGCTGGTCTCTGCAGCAAACACTCCTGTGTATCCTGGCTCCTCCCCTACCTCTTCGGAGCCGTCCCTCAGAGCGATCTCAGGAGTGAAGACTGCAGAAAGTCCACCAAATAAAACAAAATTCTCAACTTCGAGGCTGTATAGTGTTTTCTAGGCTGACATTGCTATCCGAGGATTCGTAATTCCGAGTTCCAAGAAAGAATCTGGGAAACTGCCCCCACTCAAGTCAAGTCCCTCTTACAGCCTGTGGCTTTCTGGCAAGTTCCACATGCACAGCAGCTGGACCGTCCCCACAATGCCAGGACACCCATCTGGCTCACTTGCCTCCTTCCCAAGGGGCTCCCAGAAAAGGTTCCCGCCCTGTCCAGAGAGACGGGAATGCCCGCCCCTTACCTTGGCCAGCTGCTCCCCCAGGCCCCGAGGGACTTCCCGCTCTTTCTCGTTGTCAATTTTATTGCCCAGCAGAAGAATGGGGATGCGGCCTCCCACGGCTTCCTGCGGGACAGATAATTCCCCCGTGAGAGAAGCATCCCAGAAAAGCAGGCGGGAAATCCTGGCTGGAAAGGCACAAACTGGCCCCACATGCCAGGCGGTGACAGAGGAGACCGCTGTCCCCCAGAGTCTCAGTCTGCAGGGCTTCTGTGAGGTGCCCAGCCCTCTCAGCGCAGAGGTGCTCACCCTGCTCCTTGGATCCCGGAATGTGCCGCCCCCCCGCCCCCCGCCTTGTGTCCTGGCAGTGGGAGCAGAACGAGGTCACAGCAGATGCTGATAAAAGAGGGGTCCTTCCAGAGCCCCTGAGGGCACCCCCCAGGGACCAGACGTGGTCTATGTGGACCGGAATAAACATGGAATTGCTGAGACGGGCTTGGAGGTGGTTTGGGGGCTGCGTGGTCAGCAGCGGCATCTCTAGGTGCCTCAGATTGGGTATGTAGTTCCCTGAGGGTCGGGTCCAAATCTGATTCACGGTCCTGGGTTCACAGAGCCAGACTGATGACCGTCCTGTGCCTCCTGGGAGGGCACCGTCCAGGGAGCCCTGTCGTGGGTGCCCTGGCTCTGAAGGAGCCCTGATCAGGAGGGACTGGGGGCCAGTGCAGCCACCCTGCGTGGGCCGGAGGAACAAGTTTATTCAAGGAGTCAACTCTGCTCACTCCTCCAAGGCTGGGGCGGATCAGCCAGGGGTCTGCACCCCAGGGGCCTACACCCCAGGGGTCTGCACCCCAGGATCCCTGCACCCCAGGGTCCCTGCAACCCAGGGTCCCTGCACCCCAGGGTCCCTGCACCCAAGGGTCCCTGCAACCCAGGGGCCTGCACCCCAGGGTCCCTGCACCCCAGGGTCCCTGCACCCAAGGGTCCCTGCGCCCCAGGGTCACTGCACTTCCCTTGTGGAGAGGAAGTCCTACGTGGGCCTCTCCTGGGGGCGAACAAGGGCCTGGGCCGCACAGCTACCAGGCGAGTCAATGTTCACGTTTACGCCGGCGCTTAGTTTTGCTTTGTGAGACATTTAATTAGGGGCTTTCCATCATAATTCGGAAACAAACAGTTTTTCACTGTCGCTGTGCATTTGCTCAGTAGCAAGGGCTGTGGGATCACAGAGACCAACCAGCGGTGCCGTCTGGCCCCCAGTCCAACTGCTTCACCTTCGAGTCCCTCCAAATAAACGTCCGCGGCCCAGCTGCACGCCCCGACTCTAAGTTTAAAGGCCGTTTCGCTCGAAGTGAAGCCTCGGTGCCTCCTCAGTCTACACGCTCGCTCTTGTTGCAGCTCAGCAGTGAAAAAATGCTCATTTGTTCAGTGAGACCATTAGAGCTCAGAAGATCCAGGAGGATGTTCGACCAAGTCAGACGTACAGGGATCCACCTGTTAGCATAGGCGGCCGCCATTCTCTAATCTTTGGCTCTAAATTCTTACTTCCAGTGACCCTGTGCTGCCGAGTGTCTTATTAACCAGACGGTTCTACAGGCGGTCTCTCGGCGTACCTGCGGCGAGACGGCAGTGAACACTCACATGGCTCCCGGGCACCACGAGACCTCACAGCGTCTTCCGGTCCTTCAAGAGTAGCCCCGCTCACGCGCACGGCGGCTGATGCCCTGGGCGGGCTGCGCCGTGTTCCAGTTACCCGCTAGCAAGGAGCCCCCGACGGCGTGTGGGGAACGCTCGGCTCCTCAGTCCAACTGTGGGTCCCGGGAAGCCCCCCTCCCCGCCTGTGCTGTGCTGCAGAAACTTGTGCGGTGAGGTTTTCACCAAAAAGGAAGAAAAGTGGAAGAAGTGGGAAAATGGGCCAAAAGCCCTGCCGTTCGGAGCACAGCGGGGGAGAGAGATTTGTAGACTGATGTGTGAGGATGACTAAGGCTTGTGGGATGTCTTGACATGGAAATGCTCTGAAAATAAGAGCGTCAGACTTGAAATTCCAGGGCGGGACTCTAACCCGGAATCTGGTGTTACCTGAGATGGGCGATGGCCTGTTTCCTTCCTTGCAAAGGGGATGCTGGGTCCTGAATGACCAAGCGGGCTGAGGTAGGGGACCGCCAGCCGGGCCTCTGGGCCCCGCACCACCAGCACAGGGCTGCCTCTTGGACAAGAAGAGGCAGTCTTCCTTCTTAAAGCGATTCTCGGATTAAAAAAAAACAAAGAAAGAGCTTAGAAAGAACAGCAGGAAAAAAGCCCAGGCCCCAGCTGGAGCCGTGGTTTCTGCTCTTTGCAACATTCCTCTTTATACAAACTCTCCGGACACCTTGCTTCCCCTCCACGGGCCCTGGCCTGTGCTGATGAAGGAGGGATTAGGCCTCTCTGCAAAACTACGGCAAAAGTAAGTGAGCAATCACACGAGGCCAGGGCGCGTGCGACCCATCCCGGGCAGTCAGGCTCCCACACAGGAGGGGCTGGGGCCGGGCTGGGGTCTCCTGGTCCTCTCTGACTTCATCCTCACAGCTTGAGCGGCTCACCTGCCTGCTAGGGCGTCAGCCTGCTCACTGCGTGGACAAAGATGCTAATGATTATCCACCAGATGAAAAGTCCAAAGGGCATCTCCTTTGGTGACTAAGCCTGAGGCCACCCAACCTCGGCTGACACTTCTAGAGATGCTGGTGAATCCCAGCGGGCGCCCCAGGTCGGAGAGAAGGACAGGAGCTCCTGAGCGGGGCACACGGTCTCTGTGCCGCGGGTGTTGGCTCTGCCACGTGTCCCTGTGGGGTCTGCCCGCCCCTCCTCGTTCCCTCTCTATTCCCTGAGCTGTGAGGTGAGCTCTGATATGGAAGCCTCTCCCCACCTTCCATCACTTCAGTTGCCTTTCTCTGAGCTTGAGCCTCTTGGAAGACAGATTTGTTGCAATTCAAAAGATTACTCCTCTCTGACTTTAAATAACAAGAGCTGTCAATTTGGAGCAAGGGCTGGATTTCAGCTCAGGATGCGCAGCTGTTGTGATGTGTGTGTGTGTCTCTGTGTGTCTGTGTCTGTGTGTGTGTGTGTGTGAATATCTACTTTATTTGCTGGGAGAAAAAAGCACTTAGCCACGATAGTGCTGCTGTCTCTCCAGACCCAGAACAAAAAACTTTCTCAGCACGTTAACGCATGCAGTTAGGCTAAGAAAAAAAAGGCTGGAAAATTATATCTTGGGGGTTTCCATATTTATCTGGCCCCCCGATGATGAGTCAAAACAAGATTTATTTGTGTAGCTCGTTCTAAACTGCCAGCACTTCAAGCTCAACTTGGAACGTGGGGGGAAAAATCAAACTGCTATTTTTTGCTGCGTGCCTCACATCACTCCCAGCGACACAGACCACAGAGCGCGAGCCGGCCAGGGCTGGGGGTGGGGAGGGAAGCGGGCCTGGCCCCTCTCAGCTGCAGAACTGCTTTGCTTGGAGACTGAGGCCAGAAGGGCTGAAGAGAGATGAAGGCCTCTTTCCCAGAAGTGGATTTCGACCTGGGCCATGGACAAGGACAGAGCAGAGCACAGTGGCAAAGCCCACGTCCCAGCTGCTGGACAAGCCGTGTGTCCTCGACAAGTCCCTTCTCTCTGCAGCTCAGGACTTCCCATCTATGAAGCAAGAGCCTCGGTGAGATTAATCTGCACATTTTCCCCCAGCTCAGAGTCACTGGTCTTGCTGGTTAAGGACGCCAGTCAGATTCCACTCCCTTGACGTGCAGACCTAAGAGGACAGCGCTCACAGTTCAGGTTAACGCGCGGGGACCGCAGACACTGCAGACCAACAACCTGGGTTTGGGAGAAATACCAGCCCATCAGGCTGGGACCAGTCCTATGATCTCCACCTGATGCAGGCCCCAAAGTCTTCAGACGTCCAGTACGTCTCACGATCTGAACATGGGGTCCTCAGAGCCTGAGCAACTTCTCCTGCAGACTGGACTGGTTAAACCCACGCAGGGGTGGTGAGCAGGTCCGGCAGGGCCGGGAATGCTAAAGGCTTTGATTTGCTGTGAGTGTACAGGAAAGACGAAATGGCAGGAGCATCTTCACCGAGCGTGTCTGGGCCCAGCGTGGGCTTCTTCTGCCGGAGGCCTGCAGGCCAGGCAGAGGCACCGAGCTGGGAAGAGGCCCGGGAGAGGGCAGGACACGCCCGCCTCATAACACAGAGCAGCTGCCTGCGTCTCTTGCGCCCAAGGAGTCTGGTTCCCTGTGGGCTGGAAAGATCCTCTAGGGCCCTCTCATCCACATGCACTCCAGCTCCATACTGGACCCCCTGAGAGTCACGTGCCATCCTCTGTAGAATGTGGGGGCCAGGAGGAAACTTCCAGAGCCTCCGGTCCACTGTTTCACTGAGTGGCTGGCCACGTTTCACAGTCAGGAGGTGGCTGGGCTGGGACAGTGAGAACTTCCTTTCCAGGGAAGTCCACGCCTCCCCCAGCGCTGTTCCTGCCCCACACACCCTCCTCCAAGAGTCAGTCTTTGCCACATATGATCGATGGCAATCTCAGCCTTTTCTGCGGTATCGCTTTTCAGGTTGAGGAAAAGGCGGCTGAGAAGAGCTGGTATTCACTTAATACTAAGATTTCAGAAAGCGGCCCCTCCACCTCTCCTCCTCCAGGTGGGGGAGCTGGGGAAGCGCTTGGAGCGCTAGGGAAACACAAAGTGAGCCACAGACACCAGGTCCCGATGAAACTAGCTGTCAAGTTTTCATCTCTGATTGCTGGTTGCCAAGGCAGAATGCCTTCGGCGTTTCAAGAATCTTAAGAAGCGGATTTATGATGCCACCGTTCCATGCCTTCTACACACACCCCACCGCCTGCCTTAGCCCTCTGCACGTGCCCACGGAACCCCGGGCCGCGGAGCCGGGTCCGTCACACGGAGTCCTCCAGGGCGCCTGCTGAGCGCCGGGCACGCAGGTCACGCCCAGCCAATTCCCGTCGAAGGAGCACCAGCATCTCTGAAAGTGACTTAGAATCTTGCTTCTCCACGTGCCTTCCCTGGACCAGCAGCACCGGCTTCACCTGAGAACTTGTCAGAAATGCCGCGTCTCAGGCCCCAGCCTGGACCTGCTGGACCAGAATCCGTGTTTCAACAAGGTCCCAGCAGCTCCCGGATGCGATTCGACTTGGAGAGGCACTGGCTTAGGCTGGGAACCGTGGTGGCTGAGACTCAAACGACCCGGCAAACTTTGGCTCCCGTTTGGATTTCTAGGCCCGGAATCATTCTGCCTGGGCGGGGGGTGGGGAGAGGCCCCCGAATCTGTCCTGCTTGAGCGCGCCAGGGGTGAGCCTTCCAAGTCTGGAAGCACTATCACTGGACGCGGACCTGCGCCTTTACAGCAGGAGAACTCAAACCACAGGCCACGCAGAAGAGCCCCGCCCCACGCGGATGCCTCTGAGTTGACCGCAGGCGGACCTCCTGTCTCGGCTTGGCTTCCGTGGACACTCTGGGGGGCGCGGCTGGCAATGCTTTCCAGCCCCACTCCGCGCTGGAACAGGCCAGGCGGCGGGGCCCGGCCCGGTTCCCTGCGGAACGACTGAACTCACGCTGCCAGCTGTGAGGGCGCCCCTTCTGACAGTTCTTAGCCTCCAGGTCCACCTCCAAGTTCAACCTGAGGTTCCACTTCTTTGCTAGATTCCCAGGCTCTCTGCGCAAAACAGGGACCTTAGAAACGACAGCCCCCCACTAACGGCGGAGAGCATATAAATTTGTCTCCATCCGTTCCTGTTAATCCCAGACTATCTGAACTGCCTCGTCCCAGCGCTGGTACACGGCTGTCCCTCCGTGTCTGCAGGGGATTGGCTCCAGGACCCCCCGGCAGGCACAAAATCCACAGACGTTCAAGGCCTTTATATAAAATGGAGTGGCACGGTGCACCCCGCCCCCGCCCCAAATCCATGTGTTCCGCACCCTCTGGTTCAGTGTGTGCAGTAAGCCCCTCTGTGCTTCTGTCAAAGTTTAGACATAGGGAACCATTAACCATCTGCAGCTGGGAAAGGAATAGGTGACCTTGAAGAAGTCATGGCCCCAACTTCGTCTAAGAACGAGCTGGCTGTACCACATCAGTGATGTTCAAAGGGAAACACTCTGGTCTAACAAAATTGTAGCTGGACCTCCGGAGCACAATCGTGAACAAAGTAGAGGGTTCTGAGGTGGGGGAGGAGGGGCCCAGATCTTTGATCACGACCCTTCCCCGCCCCTCCCTGGCCTGCAGGAAAGGTCAGTCTGATGCCAGGGCTCCTGGGAGGAAAGCTTAAAAAACCACTGAGTTAGGTAATCACTGAAGTCTCTCCCAGTGCTTAACTTCTGCGAGGAAGGGAAACCGGCTGGTGCCATCAAAAATAATCACGTCATAAATTATAAGGTTTAAACAGGAGTCACTTCCAGAGCACCCACCACCTGCCTCCGCTATTAGCTCTGTGCAGAGCCGTTCACTGCATTTCCAAAATGTACGTTTTCTCTATGGTCAGTGTTTCAGATGCAATAGTTTTGAAAAAATAATTTGTATCACGCAGATTTCCCAGAAACCCCTGAATCTGGCTTCCATCCTTGTTCCTTATTTTTCTTGGTAATGAGAAGGATGTGGATTAACAATAGAGAAGGGAGTGGCCCATTCAGTCCAAACTTCCAGAGAAACAGATTTCAGCGCGAGGAAGCGTGACTCTTAGGGCCGAAAGACAAAACAGTGAACAACCCCCGTGTTCCGCCTGCACAGCAACACAGCCTCCGTCCATGCAGCCAGCATCTGCTAAGCGCAGCGCCGGGGGGCCAGGTCAGCGCTGGGCTCTGCGACAGAGCCGCACAAAGCAGCAGAGACCCGGGCAGGTAGCGGCGTGGGTGCAGCACGTGACAGGGTGACAGGAGGGTGAGGGGCGGGGTGAGGCCTATGGGCTTGAGAGAGATTTTGAACCTAAGCTCCATGGGATGTCCGCTCCTCGAGTCCCCAGACCCCAGAACAGTGCCTGGCAGCGCTTAGAGCAAATGAACACACAGAGCAGCGGTCCTGCTGGTGGGAGGAGCTGGGACCTCCTATTTGACTGTGAGCGAAGGAATCAGGGCAGGGCCTGTACGAAACAGTAAGTGGCTTGTCCGCGCCGCCCTTGGCCTTGAGAAGCCTGCGTCCGAGTGGGCGCGGAGGACACGCAGGCGGTCAGGAGGTGAAGACGAAGCCTGCTGCAAGGACACCGAGAAAGCAGAGCCTCCCCGAGAGCCCAGCAGTCAGAGAGGAGCCCTGTGTCTCTCGGGCCCTGCCCAGGGTGACTCTGGGGCGAGCCTGGGGTCCTCACACTGCAGACCAGCCTCCCCTGGCGTGAGGAGTGGTGACCAAGGCCCCCAGACACCGTGAGGTGCCGCTCCTGGGCTGGGCACAGTGGGACCCCCTGGAGCTAGGAAACTGCAGGGGCAGGGAGAGGTGGTGGTGACTCAGGGTAGCCACAGCAGGGGGAGCCGGCCTTGACACGGGGCGCTCCCTCCCCCAGTCCTCTCCCACTTTCCACAGCCGGAATGACACCATCATTGGCTTAATCTGTATTTTCCCTGTGTCCCCTCCACCCCTCACCCCAAGGAGGGCAGAGGCGGCATCTCTCACGTTCACCTTTGGGTCCCCAGTAACCAGCCTGCTGCCGGGCCCTTGGGGAGACAGACGCGCGGACGCCTGAGCAGGTTTGTTCCGGGAGGTGGGGTCTGAGCCAGGTTTTGAAAGTGCGGGTAGCGGGGGTGAAGGTGGGGCTGCGGGTGGGCGCGGCCCAGGAGGAAGGGCCTCCCGGGGAGGACCACCAGCTCACCTCCACGCTGCTCAGCCACTGCCGCACCGACAGGAAGGACTCTCTGGCTGTGAGGTCGTACATGACGATGACGCCGTCGGCCTTTCTGAAGAACTGCCGGGTGATGCAGCGGTACCTGCGCCGAAGGGCGGGTCAGGGCGGGGCCTCCCCTCCGCAGCCGCCCCCGCCCTCTCAGGGAGGGGGGAGGCAGGGCTCCCCGACGATGTCGCCTCACCTCTCCTGCCCCGCCGTGTCCCACAGCTGCAGGGCCACGTGCGAGTCGTCCACGCACACCGTCTTCACGCGGTAATCGATGCCTGCGGGTGGAGCAGAGCGTCAAGTCCAAGCCAGGAAACCACGCCCCACCGTGTCCTCCCTCCCCGTGTGGCTCCTGACAGGTGATGTGGGCGGGGACAGAGCGCTGGACAGGGAGGGCCGGGACCTGAGCTCTGGTCCAGTCTCTGCTACTGCCCAGCTGTGGGACCTTGATCAAATCACCTGACCTCTCTGAACCGCAGGCTTCTCCCTGCAGTGCAACCCAGACCCTCCTCAGGGGTCAAACGAGACCAGGTGCGTAAAAGCAACCGACGAATGCAAAGAATTGCCACTCATGAATTCACTCCCTCATTGTGAAGGTGGAGGAGACAGAAACTCTGTCCTCAAATTCCATCCTTCCTCCCTCCCTCCCTCCCTCTTTCCATCCTTCCTTTTCTTATTTCCCTCTAAAATCCTATTCAATGTTCCCACAATAAAATTCAAATCTCCCTGGTGGGATGGATCACACTTTCAGACTTCCATCTGTGACCCCACCTGGCGTCATGGACCCTGGAGAGTGGGCACAGGGCACGGAGACGCACGGTGGGCCCCACAGCAGCCCTCGGAGACGGGATCTAAGTGCAGGTTCTTTGAGAACAGACATTGCGAGGACACAGGAAGCCAGCGTCCCACCGAAGAGACAGTGCAGAGTGATGTGGGACCAGAGGGATTTCTGACCTGTTCCAACACTCACGGGGAGCCCTGTCACCGCGGGTGTGCCGTGCGGTGGGATACGTGGGTCAGGGCTGGGTGATGGACCCCGGGAGGGTGGCGTTCACTTTTCTGGACAGGAGAGGCCCGAGCGGTCATTCTGAGCAGGAAGGTCTGGGACTGGGGAGTGCCAGCAAGTTGTCAGGGAGGAAAGCTTGTGGGGTTTCTCCACGGAGATGAAGAGAGGAGTGGAAACTGGACGGGTGCCCCGAAGGGCAGAGGACATCCCGCCAAGGAACGCTTTGGGAAGAAACACCTTGGCTGTGGCTTGTGGTTTTAAGCAGGGGAATGTGAACCCAGGCGGGGCCTCAGGAGAAGGACGGGACTCGGAGTCCTGGGTTCTAGGGCCTTGGCCTCCAGCAGCCAGTCTTCTCACTGACAAGCCGAGCCCCAGCCTTCTACAGGAACCATCACCTGCCGTCTCCAGGACGCCCGCGGGGACGGGCTGGTGCTGAGGTCGGGGAGGCAGGGCGCCCCAGTTCACACTGTTGCATCATAGAACCAGATGGCGCACAAGCTGAGGGTGGTGTGCAAGCCCGCGCTCGTGAGGGAGATGGGGGGCCAGGAAGTCCCAGGTGCGGCTGAGCTCTAGGGAGCTGCTGCGTCCCTGCCGGTGCCGTGTCGAGGGGCTGGGGCCGCCGTGCTTGACGGGGTCGGGGTGGGGGAGCTGCGTGGGCTCCAGGAGGCGGCTGGCGTGACGTCTGCTCGGGACATGCGTGCGGGGAGGCGAACCCCAGCCACCGCTCCAGCTTGCTTTGCACAGCATGGTGAAGGGTGTCCCGGATTTGGAAACTTGGGTATTTTTCCCCTTCCTAAACTGTAGGTGTTTCCATAATTGGCCTCCTGGGAAGTGCAAATTAGTCTGATTTTTCTCTTTTTCAGAGCGCTGCATCTCAGGGGCACCGGTTGGAAGTGTAAGACCCCGATTCCCTGATTTCACCAACATGAGAGGCACCATAAGTGTGCACTACTGGAGGGACGCCCCCGGGGGCCTGATGTCACAGCGTCCCTCCCCCGCCTCCCGCGGGCCTATGCCTGAGCCGTGACCTTGGTGGTCGTTCCTTGGGGACCCCACTGAATGCTCCAGGGAAGGCCAGTCCAGCTCCATGGCCATTGTCTCCCGTGTCACCACGCTCAGCACACATGGTTTAGCTCCAGCCGTCCATCTCCAGCCACACAAGGCCAGGCTCTTCTGTACTGTCTTCCCATCAGGGTGCAGTTCTTCATCTTGGGATGCCCCCAGTCTCCGGGTGCATCAGGGCGGAAGGGAGGGGACAGGACAATACTCCAGCTGTGGTGCAGCCTCGGAAAAGGCTCAGTGGTAAGAACGGGGCGCCTGGAGCCTGCAGGAAGGGGCGCCTGGAGCCTGCAGGGGGAAGGCTGGAGCCTGCAGGAAGGGGCGCCTGGAGCCTGCAGGAAGGGGCGCCTGGAGCCTGCAGGGGGATGGCTGGAAGGAAGGTTACGCTGGAGGAAGAGAACGGAGGCCCCCCAGGCAGGGCTCTGGGCAGGAGGTTTGCCTCGTAGGGCCAGGCTGTGAGACAGCCAAGGGTCACGGCGGTCTGGACGGAGCCCTGGACTTGGAAGCTGTCCTGGGTGACCCGGTTCAAATCTCTCATTTTCTTCGGGTGAGGAAGTACTGAAGCCCAAAGAGGAAACATGTTCTCCCGAGGTCACACGGCTGGTCAGTGGCGGAGCTGAGATGAAGGTCCAGGATTTCTGAGGCTCTGTTGAACCTCCCCACCTGTGCCAACCTCTGCTCACGTCCTGTGGCAGAAAATGGAGGCTGGGCACGCACAGCGCAGTGTTGTCAGGGACACAGTGGACTGGAACAGCAGGGGCGCCTGTGTGTCAGGGGTGCAGGCCAGGGTCAGCGCCCACCAGTGGAGGGGATCGAGGACCTGCCTCTGGACCTCTCTGGGCCTCAGTTTCCCAGTCTGTCCACTGGGCTAATAGCAGTGCTTGCCTTTCAGGGTTGTCGTGAAGATAGATGACTATAAACCATGGTAAACATTCAGATCAAATCAACGTACTTGCAGACAGAGTTGACTTTGCTGCGTGGTTAAATGGCCCGTAGAAGGCTCTCAGTGGATTTCCTCTTTCTGCTTGAGTGATTTGAGTCAGTAGAAGCTAAGAGGTTGACATGCCCCTGGGTCTCCCACATATTCCAACACGAGGAGCAGCTCTGGGTGAGGGGGCAAAGGCTCCGATCTCAGTGCAGTGTCACCCAAGATGCTACCGGGAGCACATGAAGCCGTGATGGGCTGGTAATAGCAGAGATTAACGGGCTTTGGCAACAGACTCCAGCTGATAGCCAGCAGCGCCGGGGTGGAGTCGGGGACATTTGATGAGTGAGAGAAGGCACCGAGAGCACTGCCATCCATCCCACCTGTCTGCACGCATGTGCGTGGGCTCACACAGGCACACACACACACACACACACACACACACACACACACACACACACACACACAAGGGGCAGGGAGGCAGCTGGCCCGCGGGGGAGGCAGGTTGCTGTGGGGGGTGCCGGCCCCGGGGAGAGTGGGACAGGGATGATTCCAGACCGATGGGGTCAGAGAGGGGACAAGGGCCAGAAGTCCACCTTTGCCAACTTCAGTTCCCCTCAGGCTGGATGTAGGGAGCATTCGTGGTCCATCCTCCGTGGGAAGAGCTGAGGGGCCAGCTCCGTGCAGCGGTGGGCCTCCCCCACCAGCCGGGCCCGCAGTCCCTCCCACGGCTCCAAGTCCCTCCCAGGGCCCCCTTCCCACAGCTGCCCCCTCTGCGAGGTGGGCCAGGGGTCCAGCCTGGGGAGAGAACTCACCTACAGTGGCCGCCGAGCCCGGGGAGAAGCTGCCGTCACAGAACTGCCCCAGGAAGGACGTCTTCCCTACAGCCGAATTGCCCACGAACACGATCTTGAAGAGCCGGTCTGGGGTGGACGCAGGGCCTTCCTCCTGTGGGAGGCAGAGAGTCCGGCCACATGCGGGGACTGTCGCCAGCCCCCATGCCTGCCACCCCCACCCTTCACTGTCCCTGCGGTGTCCAGGGAGGCCGCTCTGGCCTCAGATGCAGGAAACTTCGAGCTCGAGGCCTCGAGTGTCTTCCTAGCATCAGCAGAGGGCAGAGAGGCATCACTCAGCCAACACTGTGGCCCACGTCCTGTGCTGCAGGCCTATGGGCCTGGTTTGTGGTGGAGGGAGGGAGGCTGGCAGGTGCGGGCCATTCCAAGGGCCCCGGGAGAGCGCGGAGGAGGCAAGGGGCACACGCGGCGGGGAGGCTATGAGCTGGGGCTTAAGAGGCGGCAAAGATCTCCTGCAGGGAGCGGAAGGACAAGGTGGGTGTTTGCAGGGAGAAGGGGAGACAGGAAAAAGAAGGCTTATGTATCTCTCAGGGGCAGAGACATCCCGGTGGGAGTAGGTAGGGCCTCATTTCTGTCCCATGACTGAAAGCCTGGACCAGATGGACACACTGCTCTACTGTCCCATTGCACCAGCTCCCCTCTGGGATGCCCGTCTGCCCTGGAAACAAGGCAAGCCAGCCCCCACGCAGCAGCCCGGGAGAGCCCACGTGCCAGGCTGCAGGGGCAGAGCTTTCCAGAACCGAGTCCTGCTCCTCCTCCTCCGCCCCGCAGCGGGAGGTGCTGGAGCCCAGCGCAGAATGGACTTGCTCTGGGGTGCTGGGCGAGCGAGAGGCAGTCAGGCCTAGCAGAGGGTCCTTCCCGCCGAACGGCCTTCAGGTCCAGGGAGCTACCTGCCCGCCCCGCCCAGCACCACCTCGCCAAACGAGGAGGCCCTTAGAGCCCGTTTAGAAGTGGATTTGGGGGAGTTAAGCTCCTCTCATTGAGCAAATACTCTAATGCAGTGGCAGCAGATATTAGCAGTACTTGAGTTTCAGAGAAAAGCCATTAACAGCCTTTTGGGGTGAAATCAATTCCATGCAGTACTTAGGAGGGAATTCAAGGTCAATTACAAGAATTTAAACTCAGTTTAGAAAAAAAAATGCAGAAATGCATTCAGAAATGCAGCCCCAGTTTCTTCACTCTGGCAATGCACAGGAATCACTCCCTTCCCAGCCTGAGTCTCCGTTTGTTTCAGACCAAAGCTCTGTGCAGCCCTCGGTGCCCCCAGGCCCAAGGATGTTCGGTCCGGGGGCCGTGAAGGCCGGGGTGGGCGGGATGGTTCTGGCCGCAGAGGCGGTGGTTGACCTCGCTCTGTGCTCCCCCCACCCCCGCCCCGCCCCAGGCAGAGCACTTATCTTGCCAACAGGAGACAGGATGCGATCAACACAGTGGGGGTTCAGCTTTGGGCAGGACCCACCCCACTGGAGCAGGGAGCCCACTCCAGGCACTTAACCTGGGGGACAACCCCCCACGCCCGCCGTGACACTGAGAGAGCCAAACTATGGGGAGGGGGGGCTGGGGAAAGGGTCCCTCCGCCGGCAAGTCAGGGGATCTGTCTTCACCCTCCTTCCCACTGTTCTTCTTTTTAAAAAACAAGTCTATTTATTTATTTATTATTAGTTTTTTAAAATGGAGGTACGGGGGATTGAACCCAAGACCTCCTGCGTGCTAAGCATGTGCTCTACCACTGAGCTGTACCCTCCCCGCGCTGCTCTTCTTTTTAAAACAGCTATAAAAAATAAAAGTGATGCACACTAATTTTTAAGATTACAAAACTTAGTAGAGAGGAAAATAATAATTACTCATAATCTACCCCACTGCCTGGAAATGGTCACTATTCATACGTCTGTGCATTTTTTCCATTTATACAGATGAATTAACATATGTTTTTTGAGAGATTTGAGATGGTATATATAATTTTAACCTATTTTAATATATTATTATGTATTAATATCGATAATAAATTATAACTATATTACTAAGTTATAAATATTATAATTAAATTAAGTTATTTAGCACTATATTGATATATATTATTATTAAATTATAAATATTTCTTTGAATCACTAAAGGTTTTCAAAAGTGTGATTTTTAACAGCGATATAATATCCTAAGTTAATCTGCTCTGACTTCCGTCCCTGTTGTTTTTTCAATTGTTTGCTTTCTAAAAATTTTTAACCTTTAAAAATCTTTTTTTATTCAGGGGGAGGAAATTAGGTGTGTTTATTTAGTTATAGAGGGTCTCTCTGACTCACCAAATGCTTTTGAATCTGAATCAGGAAAGAGCGCACAGGGCACAAAGTGAGGCCAGCAACAGAAGCTGTCAGGAGACTGGACCAGACCCCCGAGATCCCCCCGGGACACCCGGCAGGGTGGAGAAATCTGGTGAACCGCCAGGCCGGCTTCATCTGACTCCCCTAGATGCCTTTGGGCTCTCGTGCTCCCACGCCAGGGCCAAGGGACGGGGTGACCCACAAGCCATCATGGGATGTGCCCTTACCTTCCACAGGGCTTCTTTTCCGACGGGCTGCCCTCGAGGAGACGTGGGCACCTGTCCCAGAGGTCGGGCCTGTGAGATTTGTCCCTCCAGCCCCTGGTCGGAGACCTCCTCCTCTTCGGGGCATTTGCCCAGCGGCTGCTCAAAGGAGCCCCCCCAGCAGCTGGGGCAGGGGGTCCTCTTCAATGGAGATGATTCTGCAGAGCGCCCGGCGGAGCGGCCCCCCAGCCCCCGGCTCCTCTTCCGTAAGCGGGTGTCCGTTCAGGCCCAGTGAGCTCCTCCTCCTCGGAACGCCAAACACATCTTCCTCCTCCACTGATTGGCTGTTTGCAGGAAGAAAGAAGGGTGGGGAGAATTTTGTAAAATGTATCAGTCTTTTACTGAAGTGGGGGTGGCCTGACAGCTTCTATGACGGACAGTTGAGGAGCAGCCTCACTGTGGGGCAGACAAAAGCCAGGGAAGGGAAAAGCAGACCCAGCATTCTTTAGCTTAATCATTCCACGCCTGGAATGACTGAGTGCCTGGTGAGGAAGGTGGTGATGGTGAAGGTGAAGGCGATGAAGGTGGCCTGGGTGGAGGAAGGTGGTGGTCGGTGGAAGGTGGAAGGCGGATGAGGTGATGAAGGTAGAGGAGGCAGGTGAGTGAGTGGAAGGCGAGAGTGAAAGATGAAGACGAGGATGAAGGCGATGAAGGTGATGAAGGTGAGGAGGCAGGTGATGATGGAAGCAGATGAAACTGATGAAGACGAGGATGAAGGCGATGAAGGTGAGGAGGCAGGTGGTGGTGATGGAAGCTGATGAAGGTGAAGATGATTATAGTTGAAGATGATGAAGGCGAAGGTGATGATTGCTCCAGGTAGTAAGCTAGGGACACAGTCAGCAACAGGTGGACACGGCCCCGTCCTCATGGAAGGCCTGGCTCAGGGGGTTGAGAGCAGCAAAGACACACCAGCTACATTGTCCCAGGTTGTGGGAAGTAAAGGTTTGAAGAGAGGAGTGTAGCAGATGTGGAAACAAAGCATCCTGGGTTAACCGACCTTCGGTGGCCTTGGCGCTGGTCCAGCCCCAGCCCTCACCACCTGTGTGTCCTGAGGTAAGATGCCAACTCTCCAGGGCTGTTTCCTCACCGTGAAACATGGCCCGCCTGCCCTGCCCACCTCACCAATAAGATGGTGCACAAACCAGACACGTTAGGGAAGCGTCTCTAGGTGATGCGGGCGAGGGGCACCGCTGCTCTGGGAGGGGCCCTCACACTGCAGATGGCCGCTGAGCCGGGGCAGCTGCCCTCCCGGGGGCTTCGGGTGCGAAGGAAACCAGGTGGCGCCCCACCTGCCTGTCCTTCCTCTCTGTTTGGGGTCAGAAGCGAGTGGCCTCAGAGGCCTGAGTGCACATTTGCTTCCGGGAGCATGTGAGCGTGAGGAACGAGGAGGCGCTGTAGGAGGTGGCGGAGCCGGGCAGCAGGTGGTGGGGCCAGCGCACAGGCTGCATCCCCGAGGTGTGACAGCAAAGTCCCATGGCCCCTCTGGGGGGCGCTCTCAGGTCTTTGTGAACAAGCAGAGATGAGGACTGTTTTACAGGGAGGACCTTGGGTCCAAAATCGAAAGACACACACACAAGGATTAGAAGAGAAAATAGAGCAGGATGAGGTGGTGAGGACATGGGGGACAAAAGAAAGACAGTGAGTGAAGGACACGGAACACGCTGAACAGGGAAGAGCCTGCATTTGGCCCCTGGCTCGTGGCACTGAGGGCTCCGAAGGCCCCACAGCAGGAAGGAAAAGGAAACACCGCGTGTTCCTCCGTCCTGAAGTTGCGGGCGAGTCTGCGAGGTCAAGCTGAGGGGCAGTGCTTGCTCACACAAGCGGTGACTTAGTTTGGTCCCTTCGTATAGAATAAAGGATTTGCAGCAACTCAAGGACCTTTACACTCATGTATAAAA